CATTTGTCCAACACAGACCTTCTGGTAGAGTCAGCGGCATTTAGCGGCATTTCTCCAAAACAGACCTTCTGGTAGAGTCAGCGGCATTTAGCGGCATTTGTCCAAGACACACCTTCTGGTAGAGTCAGCGGCATTTAGCGGCATTTGTCCAAGACAGACGTTCTGGTAGAGTCAGCGGCATTTAGCGGCATTTCTCCAAAAAAGACCTTCTGGTAGAGTCAGCGGCATTTCTCCAAGAGAGACCTTCTGGTAGAGTCAGCGGCATTTAGCGGCATTTCTCCAAGAGAGACCTTCTGGTAGAGTCAGCGGCATTTAGCGGCATTTGTCCAACACAGACCCTCTGGTAGAGTCAGCGGCATTTAGCGGCATTTGTTCAACACAGACCTTCTGGTAGAGTCAGCGGCATTAAGCGGCATTTGTCCAACACAGACCCTCTGGTAGAGTCAGCGGCATTTAGTGGCATTTGTCCAAGACAGACCCTCTGGTATAGTCAGCAGCATTTGTCCAAGACAGACCCTCTGCTAGAGTCAGCAGCATTTAGCGGCATTTGTCCAACACCGACCCTCTGGTAGAGTCAGCAGCATTCTCTATGAGAATGATCGTAGGTCATGCTTACCTGCTTGGGGAAGTAAAATTAAAAGATAGTTTACACCAATATTGTTAAAAGTCATTCTTATGAGTTTTGATTGAAAATTGAATTAATTTACTTAGCTAGTAAGTTGTGTGAAGCGGTATGAAGAGTTTCATGTGAAATAAATTGTATATTATCACTACTGGAAATGTTTGCTGGCTGTATAAATGAAAAACCAAATACTATACTGTTTCAATTTCCCGAAATTGATATGAACTTCATTTGCGGGTTATAACTCTGGAAATTTCATGAATGATTAAATGTTAGAATTTACATACTAAATCGATCCACTGACTAATAAGCTGCATTTAAATCTTTTACGGAATAAGCTGCATGGTTATAAAATGTTAACCCATCCCATTTTTATATCTTTTATGGAATAAGCTGCATTTAATAAAAAAAATTTACGAAATAAACTGCATGATAATAAAATGTTAACATATCCCAGTTTCATATCTTTCACGGAATAAGCTGCATTTTATATCTTTTATGGAATAAACTGCATGATTTTAAAATGTTCACCTATTCCAGTTTTATATCTTTCACGGAATAAGCTGCATTTTAAATCTTTTACGGAATATCCCTCTTGGGACCTCTGGAATAATTTTACAATCTACACTTCAGCAGTAAGCTTTCACTCTGGGTGCTGCATGATTATAAAATGTATCCCAATTTTATATCTTTTACGGAATAAGCTGCACGATTACAAAATGTTGACCTATCCCAGTTTTATATCTTTTACGGAATAAGCTGCATCTTATATCTTTTTTACGGAATAAGCTGCATTTTGTATCTTTTACGGAATAAGCTGCATGGTTATAAAATGTTAACCTATCTCATTTTTATATCTTTTATGGAATAAGCTGCATTTTAATAAAAGAATTTACGAAATAAACTGCATGATTATAAAATGTTAACATATCCCAGTTTCATATCTTTCACGGAATAAGCTGCATTTTATATCTTTTATGGAATAAGCTGTATGATTTTAAAATGTTCACCTATTCCAGTTTTATATCTTTCACGGAATAAGCTGCATTTTAAATCTTTTATGGAATAAGCTGCATGATTATAAAATGTATCCCAATTTTATATCTTTTACGGAATAAGCTGCATTTTATATGTTTTACGGAATAAGCTGCATGATTATAAAATGTATCCCAATTTTATATCTGTTACGGAATAAGCTGCATTTTATATGTTTTACGGAATAAGCTGCATGATTACAAATTGCTAACCTATCTTTTACGGAATAAGCTGCATCAGTATAAAATGTTAACGTATCCTAGTTTTATATCTTTTATGGAATAAGCTGCATTTTATATCTTTTACGGAATAAGCTGCATGATTACAGAATTTTAACCTATCCGAATTTTATATCTTTTACTGAATATTGGCCATGATAAAAATATTTCTAGATTCTCATCCCTGCCCACCCTGAATTTATATCCCCGCCTCGATTTTTTTCTTCGTCTTAATTCTCATCGGGATCGGTATCCATCTACCATTCTACTTTCGTTTTAAATTTTGCGAAAGTTGATATGATTTTGACGACTGAAAAGATAGTAATTGCTGTAATACGTATAGGCCCTATATTTTAAACAAGGGTCATTGGTTGATAAAGATTGGTGATGATGTGAAGTAGGAGATAATTGAACCTTTACTATGACCTTTATTCAGATATTGTAGATAAAATTACACTGAATGACCAGGTCAATAAAAATCTTTGAAACTGAAAAAATAAAAAGTATAAAATAAAAGCCGGCCGCCAGCCTTGATTTTAAAAAAAAAATTGGATGGGAATCTAGCAATTTATTTATTATGGCCTAAGCTGCATGATTGTAAAATGTTAACCTATCCCAGTTTTATATCTTTTACGGAATAAGCTGCATGATTAAATCAATAGACAATGTATTCCTCTAAAATCAGCGCATGAAAGTTTTTGTAGAGAATCCTAAATTACTGGACTTTTACAAATCGGTCTTGAAAAAAATAATTTCAACTTTGCATGGTGTGCTTCTGACAGTCTTTTCTTTCTAACTTTATCGATAAAAATAGTTTAACACAGTCGCATACTATGCTCATAGGGTTTATTTGTTGAATAAATTAAGACACAGCTACTTATAATGAGATAATATTGAAACATTCTCAAAGTAAAGCTTCTTCTGTTACTGTAATTTATGGAGTAATCACATTATTTTCTTTATTTAGTATTTTATTTGACATATTTTCATAAATATAACTTAATAATTAATATGTTATACATGGGGTACTTCAAATTTAATAGTCATAATCACATAATTGAGCAATATCAAATGCATGAAGCCAGATGTTTAACACCTTTTCCCTAATCATCTCCTGTTTTGTTATATTGGTGGTAATTTTGTCTGTATCTGACTGCATGATATCAATAACTGCAAATTGCTAATCAGCATGATACTCATGGCTTGTGTTGACCAAGATAAAGCTGTTAATTGAATTATTTTCAAAGATACTACCAAAGTACAAAGAGCTCTTTGTACAATTTAAACTGATATTTAATTACCGGGGTAATATTTTTAGAATAATACTGGAAATACCATCAAACTAAATGAAAAAAATATAAATATTACTAATTGAGCAAGTCCCTGCCATTAAGGAAAAACAAATATTATACTATTTAAGTATCTCTCATACATAAAAGTGTAAACCATCTCTCCATTAATTACTGTATATCAGTAAATCCATGGAAAAACAACAGATTAAACTGTAATTAAGATTGATTTGTTTTATCTATGATCTATACAAAACAGTATTTATGGACTTGTTTATTCCTGAGTCCTACATCTTTTTCAAGATGAAGGAATTTACTGAAAATAAAGGAGAAAGGAATTAAAGCACTCAATCTTGTTAAACAAATTCTCTAAATGTTGTCAGAAGCACTGTCTTTGAGAAATGCCGCTGACTCTACCAGAAGGTCTGTTTTGGAGAAATGCCGCTAAATGCCGCTGACTCTACCAGAAGGTCTGTGTTGGACAAATGCCGCTAAATGCCGCTGACTCTACCAGAAGGTCTGTCTTGGACAAATGCCGCTAAATGCTGCTGACTCTACCAGAACGTCTGTGTTGGACAAATGCCGCTAAATGCCGCTGACTCTACCAGAAGGTCTGTCTTGGACAAATGCCGCTAAATGCCGCTGACTCTACCAGAAGGTGTGTCTTGGAGAAATGCCGCTAAATGCCGCTGACTCTACCAGAAGGTCTGTTTTGGAGAAATGCCGCTAAATGCCGCTGACTCTACCAGAAGGTCTGTGTTGGACAAATGCCGCTAAATGCCGCTGACTCTACCAGAAGGTGTGTCTTGGAGAAATGCCGCTTAATGCCGCTGACTCTACCAGAAGGTCTGTGTTGGACAAATGCCGCTAAATGCCGCTGACTCTACCAGAAGGTCTGTGTTGGACAAATGCCGCTAAATGCCGCTGACTCTACCAGAAGGTGTGTCTTGGAGAAATGCCGCTAAATGCCGCTGACTCTACCAGAAGGTCTGTGTTGGACAAATGCCGCGAAATGCCGCTGACTCTACCAGAAGGTCTGTGTTGGACAAATGCCGCTTAATGCCGCTGACTCTACCAGAAGGTCTGTGTTGGACAAATGCCGCTAAATGCCGCTGACTCTACCAGAAGGTCTGTCTTGGAGAAATGCTGCTCAATGCTGCTGACTCTACCAGAAGGTCTGTCTTGGACAAATGCCGCTGACTCTATCAGAAGCACTGTCTTGGACAATTGCCCCACCCACCAACCCATTTCATCTCATTTCGTGACTTCTTACATGAAGTATGAACCTTTTAACTTCAAAAAAGCTTTAAGTAATTAAGTAAATACTGTTAAAATTGTCTTAAATGAAGTGATAAGTATAAACTAGGGGAGTCTCCTATTCCATCATGGATACCTTATATGTTTTATGGTTTTAACCATTCCTCATCATGATCAATGTGTCATTTTCAAACTATTCCTTAATATATTAATACCGTAGTTTTTTTTTTATAATTACGACAGAAAGATGTATATTTTTCATGCATAAATAGATCAAAAGCAACAAAATGTAACAAACTAAATTTTCAATTTTCAGTTAGCTAACCATATGAAGTTTTTAGGATGTATATATACATGTTACCTAGAAACAAAAAAGGTTTTATTGTCTTCTAATCTTAGTAATGAATATAAATGTATAAGCAAAAAAAATCTATTTTAAAATCAGTTTTGTAAAGGAGGGAGGTGTATGGTTAATTCATCTGGTCACAATCAGTGCTTGCTAAGTGACTGTTAGTAGTATACTAAACACTACACTGTAAATTGTTAGTACTGCTTAAACCTTCATATCAAACTACTCACTTCAAAATTTTAAAGTTTCTGATTGGTTTATCCTCTGTGTGAAGGGTGTGTCCTTAAGTTGATTGACAAGTCAAAAGTTGTACTATCAGAACCTGAGTAGTGGTTTGTAACAACATGAAATTTGCTGTTGCTGATGGAAGAGTTATGGTTCTTTGTCTGCTGAGTTAGTTATCTCCCTTGAGTAGCTGTACCTATTTTGTTTCATTTTCTTCGTTTTGTTGCTAGATATTGATAAAAAAGTATGCAAAGGGAAAACGCTTAGCCATTAAAAAAAATCACACTTCTATTTAGTGAAAAATTGCAAAATCCTCCAAATACCTTTTTAGTCCTCATTGTCCCATAAAAATAGAATTTATGAATCTGTAAACTTTTGTAAGTGTAAAGCATTCTTCATACTGGTGTTAATTGCATGAAAAGCCCCTACAAGCCTGACATCACTATGACTGTATTCTTCAGACATTGTAATAAATAACCTTTTGTAACTGCAGTTATCATTGTTGGCAGTTTATGAAGCAAGAATAAATGTTTTCTTAGTGACTGAAATAAACAAACCAAAATCCTACCTCTTTTCATTTATTTTTGAATGTCCATCATTCCTGAAAATACAGAAAAATTCCAAAGGTTAAACAAAAGGCTATCTTTGAAAATTTTTCCTATTTTACTGCAAAATACCATGACACCTTAACCCAGAGAGTCCCCCCTGTTTTTGTTTATTAGACTGACCTCTCTGTCCCCTTTGTGTCCCCCTCATCTTTGTCCCCTTCTTGACCCTCATCAGAATTTGTGCTCCTTGTGTCGGGTTCCTGCCCATTCTCAGCATCCATTGGTTTTGAATTCTGCTCACTCTCGTTGGTACCATCATTCTGTTGTTGTGGAGTCTCTGCAGTGCTTTAGTTTACAAAGGAAATTTTGACATCTGATTGCAAGATACATAATGCAACAGATCAAAGATTTTCATTCTGCATGAGTAACATACTAACTGATTACATATTGCCATCCTATTTATATTTACTCATATTAGAAAAAGAAGTCTGCTTTGATCAACTGTACCTCTCTTCTTGTGGCTTGTCCTTCACAGGAGACTTGGACTTTGACCTGAAATGATACAAAAAGTGTCCTTGTAATGTTTACTGGTTCTGGCCAATTAAATCATATTATTTCCTATATTAGTAATTTAGTATTATTGTCACTAGCTTTTCACTGCATCTCTACTCAAAATTGGAAAAGGCTCAAAATTTCACAGGAACTTAAAAGATTTCATAATAATGAAAATAAGCACAAGTGTACTACAATTTTTTTTTATTTTAAATCAGTTTCCTTTCTTTACACCCGCAAAACTGTCAAACTCCTCTTACAGACATCTTCACAGACATCTGCATTGTACCATACTGTGTGTTTCTCAGGACAGAGACAGTCATTTGGGTTTATATTCTAACCTTTTGCTGTCTTTGGTATGTTTCTTCCCTTCAGCTGAATTTGATGTTTCTTCTGTTGGTTGGTCTTTATTTTTCTCCTTTGATCTGAATAATAGCCATGCCAGAAAATATTCATTCAATTACAATGTAGATATCCCAAAAATAAATTTTGCAAATATCTTTTTAAAAAAAATTTCACCAACCTTGACCTAGATTTTGATCTTGTCCTCCTTTTTCTATTAGATCTAAAGTGAGAGAGAGAAAATCATACCACATACCACAAATTACTTAATATTCAAAACATCATCATGTATAAGTATAAATCATGGCCCTTATAAAGTTAAATCTTAAATCTTGTTGCTGTACCTTCCATCTTTGCTTCCTGATCTTGATCTGTCCCTCTGTCTTGACCTTGACCTAGTTCTATCTCTTTTTCTTGACCTTGACCCAGATCTATCTCTTCTTCTGGACCCTGACCTAGATCTGTCTTGCTTTCTTGACCTTGACCCAGATCTGTCTCGCTTCCTTGACCTTGATCTGTCTCTTTTTCTTGATCTTGATCTAGATCTAAAAAATCAAGAAATACAAATTTGAACCAAGAAAATGAAGATGTCAGCTAAACATTATTATATTTCTATTCATTTTAACTTTTCATTTGATATGGAGAATGTTATTTTTTTTTCTAAAGAGTTAAATACTGTATACAGGGTTATTTTCGCCCCATGCTATTTTCGCCCTTTCACACTTGAATACAATTCTGCCCCATTTTAAATTCACCCAGTCATAGTTTTGTTTAAGAAATTATACTGTATTCTTTCAAATTGCCCTGTTTTAAATTCGCCCAAAAGAGGAGAGGGCAAAAGGGACAAAAATAAAACAGGGGCATAACTTCCTTGTATACAGTAATGAACATTTGGAGAAACTATCTTTTTTTTGGGGGGGGGGGGTTGATTAGAAAAAAGAGAATCAAAGTCTTTGTAGGAATTCATTAATTTGCCTAAAATGGATAATTGATTGTAGTCTGTAAGATATTAGAATCCAAGTTAATATTCAGTGCTTAGAGATTTTGTTAATATAATCACATCAGACAGAAAGAATAGATAGTTATCTGCAAAAGGTTTTTTTTTAGTATTACAGCAGACCAAAAATCCTTTGATTGAGATTATTTGATTTTTGGCTAAAAGATAAAGCCAGTATTACAGCACATAAAATGATACCTTCTGTCTTTCGATGCTGAACGCGTCTTTGAGGTTTTTCTTTTTGGTGTAGGTGACCTTCGTTGCCTTGGAGATCTTGACCTTGAGTGAGATCTTTGATATGTTCTGGAGAAACAGGTTTCATTTAATTTTCAATAGGAAATACAAAACTGTTTATTGTATGCATTGATAGATTCTTGTCACATTGTAACATCTAGATCATGTTTTGCACACTTTCTTTTAAAATGTGGAAAGACACACTTTTGGAACCTAATGAATGTTTTATTTCCATATACAGTTAATATTTATCTTGCGATTTTCATGTACTTCTGAATGATAAGAAAAATAATCTGAGAAACTGATTTCTATTCACATGACCAGGTTGTTTATCGTAGTTAGGTTAATCTTTCTGAAGTAAAGTCATTCAAGCACTCCTTTAGCTTTAGAAGATAAGTCAACTGAGAAGTCCTTTATTTCTCAAAGTAACAGCTGATCCAACTTAGGGAAATGTTCCGTGAGGGATAAATAATGTCATGTCAAACAACTGCATTGTGAATGACTCTAGATCAACATAAGCTTTAAGGATGCGTCTTAATTTATAGCAGGCTGTACATAGTTATCATTCTTAATAAGATATTAACCAATAAATCAATTTAAGTTAAATATTTGTTTCCATATATTTATAGTAGTGGGTAATTTGTGCTGCTAATACATATATCAATCTCTATTAATTCTGAACCTGCTTTATCTGCATCAATCACTCAAAGTCAATTTCCCTTTATATTAAAATAGAAACAAAATGATGAGCTTTATTGATCTAGTAATTGTCTGTGCCATCACAGGGACGTCCATCAGGAAAAACTCTGATAGGACTAGGAAGTATGAAGGTGAATTGATTTTTATCAATTAATTTTATATATAATAAATTATCAATGCTCTTAAACTTGCCCTCACTAAATCCTGTAATAAGGAAATTAAATTTTTTCATTATAAACTTATAGCCTTATATTTGGAATTTAAAAGTGTGTAATATTATTGATACCTGCGTCTAGATGAATGCTTTTCAAATCTTTTGGCTTGTTTCTCTTCATAAGGAATAGCATGCTCCACACGCACGCGCCGTCCACAAACCATGCTGAAACAGAAAATACATATAAACATATGTCAAATAACTTTTTGATAATCAACAGAAATCTGTCGATCATTATTTATGTACAAAGTGATCTGACAGTGTTATTAAAAGCTGTGATTCCACAAACTATAGAACTATAAACCTTTTACATGTATTTGAAATATAGTTACTGGTGTATATGAATTAGTAAATGCTATTTATAAGATTTTTTCCTCAAACTTTGGTTATCATTGGTACTTGTATATTTTCTTTATTATTACAAATTTACACAAGAATGAAATTAAGCTTGATAGCTGAATAATCATTAGTTTTTGTGAATTAAAAAAAAATCATATACACTATATAGCGTAAAGTCTCTAAATCATCATAGAAACTTCATTCTAATTTAACTTCTCTCTCTCTTTAGATCTGAGGTCTTAAATCTAGCAGAATCGCAAACTGAGAAAAATAAATATATGTTTATATGCCAAAGTTTTTTTTTTTTTTCCAAATTATATGCAAAGTTAATTACCAACCATATCACATCAGCATAATGAGTTAAGAAATCTTAAAAGCTTTTAATGATAGATGTTTGATGAGGCTCCAAAGACATTAACAAATTGCTTTAATTAAGTAACCGGTACCAAATTAGGAACCCCGTTTTTACAGATTAGTAATCAAAGGGTCACATCTTAGTCTAGTAGCTAGATTGTAATTATACACTTGAACTTTGATAACCCAGAAATCTTCAGGTATCAGTGCACTAGTCTGTCTTACTATGGTACACCTGTGGTACACCTGTCCTAACTCAGCTTTATCAGGTATCGCTTTACCTTCGACAGGTAAGGCATCACAGACCATTGATGTGTGGACACACGGCGGGGCCAGTGTGGAAGTGTTAATGAAGATGCTAACAGAGTTATCTGGCTTGGTCCATTACCAGAACTTCCTAACTCCATTACTGGATGCTTTCCCTTCCTGGTACAACTGACATTTCTCCCTCAATAAAACTCTGTGATAAACATGTCAACAGGCCCTGTTGTTTTTGTAATATAGACATACTGTGACGACTTGGAACAGATTTCCCTTTGTGGCTGTACTCACATAAAAACTTAATTCACGTAACTAAAGAAGCTTAACATGGGAGCTTATAAGTATTTACATAATGTTTGGTCATTCATAAAACATGGTACAATTAACAAAGCATTCTATTTATGTTCTATTTATGATAAAAAGCTGTTGTGCAGCAGCTTGCATCGAACTCTCAGTTGTCTGTAGGGAAAACTAATCCTCTTATTGATTATCATCTGCCAAATCTCTTGTTTATGTGACAGACTGACAATGTCTTGCCGATTTTTATAATATTTTCATAAGTTATCAACTTGACATCTTCTACATACATCAGATCAATGGAGGAAATTAATTAGCAACATCCTGCCCGGAGTCAGTTTTTCCTTGTCGTTTCTATCATTTTTCAAGTTCAAGTGAAGTATACTCTTATGTTTATTCAGAATTTTTCCCATTTTCATATAAAAAATATTTTGTAATTCATTTTCCTTGTAAAATCAGATAGAGTCCTTGAGTAATTTATAGTCCTCCTTTTCGTACACCTTCTTTTATGCCTTCATTAGCTCATTAGGACAAACATATTAGAATTAACATATTATATTTTATATACCGGTATACATTTTATACATGTTGTGTCTGACAAGTAAAAAATTTATCCCTAAAGACCTAAAAAGGAAGTTGCCAACAAGCCCCCAACTTCCTGTTTAATACCGTATAAGTAGAATTTTTAGTGAGGATTTAATTTTGGCATTATTAGCAAGGGTGCTGAGATCGCTAAAATTGAATATCGCTAAAAATTAACTGCATTTTGATTGTAATGGCCTCTTTAGTGAGCTTTTTAATATCGCTAAAAATACATGTACTTCTAATCTCACTAAAAATAAAATACCCATTTTTTAAAAGACAAATCGCTATGTTTGCATATCATTAAAATTTTCACTTATACGGTAATTCACTGTGAAAATTATGGTTCTGTTTGATGTCACAGTACGTTACTATCCACAGTAAAACCCAGTTATGAGGAGGTAACTGGATATTCAATGTTTACTTCCTTTATATAACTGAGATTCTTTACATCATCTACATCTGTAAAACAGACATGTCAGAGAAAATCCTCTATGGGATTTTAAAAAAAATGTTCCTTTTAACTGAGAATTTTTAATTAGCAAGCTCGTAATAACCAACCTTTACTGTAATCCAACTTCTGCAGAAATATATGTTTTCTATACGCTTGGGGGAAGGGACCCCGGAGGGGGGCTGGGTAATTTTCATTATACTCAAGATTACATGAGAGACCCACAAAATCATGTCAACCATGAAATGTAAGATGTCATATACATATTAAGCTACTCACTAATTCTTCATCCACCATATCATAAAATCCCTAATGAACCCATTTTTTCCCCCTCAAACCACTATAATTTGACTCCCATGACAATATGTGATTTTACAGTAGCTATATGACATTTCGAAAGTCAAGTTCAATCACATCAAGGTCAAAGTCACTTCAGGCACTATATAGCATCAACTGTGGGGAGATCTATTCTGTATGCGTTAACATCTCTGGCGATCAAACTAAAAGACTTACAGATGGATAAGTGATTGACAAGTCAATAATTCTACAAAATCTTGCTGACAGACAGATGCACATAGCATTTTATAGACACTGACAGACAAATTGACAAGTGGGTATATACACTAAGTGACAAGGTACCCTAAGTTCCCCCTGTGAGATGTACTGTAAGTATATAAAAAAGTCAAATTTATATGTATACACAAGAATAAACCTGAATCTTGAATATCTTAGAAAGGATTCTATTTCTGTTTTTTTTTAAGTATGAATGATGTATACAAAGCTTGCACAATTAGAGGCTGAGTAAACATGACCGGATCCATTTGTTCCTATGCCTGACTATGTCTGTAAAGTGATTCCGTAGATAGAATTTTCATGTTTCTCTCTGTTTCTAAGCAGGTGTTTTATTTCCCTCACAGATAACAATAACTTGGAGAACAAGACTTCGATAAGGTCAGATAGATACAACACTTAATACATACTTTCCGTGAAGTTTCCTAACTGCTCTCTCTGCGTCTTCACCATACTTGTACACCAGAAATGCAAATCCCGGTGGATTCCTAAAGAACAGAATTTTTTAATTCAATGGCATATGGTCACAAACATAAATAACATTATATAAGCAAATCATTATATTTACAAAACAAAGAAGGTACGTACTAGTCATATATAATTTCTTAACTTTCTGTTAAAAATAATTAAAACACTAAATTCCTACTGAAAGAAGGGGAGGCGTGGGGGGGGGGGGTGTTTACAGAAATGTTTACATAGAATGTTCATTGAACATATATGACATTAAATGACATAACTATGTATTTCTAATGAACATTCTCATCATAACACTTAGATACACCTCTTTCAGAAAATATTAGAACAAATTGTAACGATGCTACTGTTTGGAGAGAAGAGGGAAGAAAAAAAACGTGAAACTGAGAACACGCACCTGGCCACCCAAACGTCAAGGATGGGGCCGTAATACTGGAACTCCCGCTCAAGATCATACTTTCCCACACGGCTGCCGAGGTCCCCCACAAACACTCGGTACCCCCCTCTGCTCTTGTCCAGTATTGCCATCTTACTGTCGTCGTGCTCCCGTTTGATGGCGCCCTCTACGGTTCACGGAATAGTGTCCCATATAGATAGGGGTTTTCCCACTACAGGACTGTACAAAAGTTGGACACGGAAACTAACACGGAGAAAGCTTATGAATACACATGTACCTTATCACAATGTCAATATGGCATATATATAAAAGAAAATAATGCATCAAAATATTGTAACCTTTTTTAAATATAAAAACTAATTACACAAGTCATGGACCATAATCAATGTTTTATAAAACCGTCTGAATAAATGTTCTATTTGGTTGAGTAAAATCTTCTGACCATTAGAGATGATTATATCAGTAAAAGGAGGTAGACCTTTACCTATAAGTATAGTGATTTTTTCTGCTGATGTTTTTTCCTCCCTGTTGCTTCTTCCTCACCTGGGATTCCTACTACAAAAATCTTGACACTCGCCATATATCTAATTCATTAAGATAATGTTTTAAAATTTTCTAAATGATAAATTAGTCAACTGTCAAGTTTATTCCAATAATATCTAATGACAAACCGATTCAGCAGTATAGGTCGAAGAGGGTGGGGTGGGGTGAAAAAAATCAGTATTTTGGACAACCCCATTTATTTTAGAATATCGCAGAATGTCTAGATCTTTAACTGATTTTGCCATCGGTTCGATTGAAAAAATCTTTCCAATGAGAGGAGATGTCTTTCATAACGGCCAGTATTTACTACTATATAATCATCGTATTATTAGAATATCATGCCAAAAATAAATGGAAGATAACCAGATATGATATTATGAAGGAATTAATAAACAGACATGCATGCATTCAGTTGAAACTCATCCTTCGAGCACCTGCGTTGGATGTTGACCTATCCATACCTTTTAGTTTTGTTTATTGTAACGTACTCAAACTCAACAGCACAGCTTTTCTTCAAATTTTCATTGTGAAATAAAATTTCAAATTTTTAAAAAATGTAGAAAATTTGACTTCTATGCCAATTTCAATAGTCCTCGCCAACTGACGTCAGACATAAATGAAGCCGCACGAGATTTACATTCATATTTTGACTTTAGCGTCAGACACAGATTTTATATAGATGCGCAAGAGAATTGCATTTTATTCAATGGCCTCCCAGCTCCCGACCATTGACCTTTTTAATTTACATTCCGGCAGAATTATCAAGAAATAAACTACCCATAACTTTCAAAGAGTTATCACAGAGAAAAAAATTAGAAATGGAAATATAACCAGATATGATATTATGAAGGAATTATTTAAACAGACATGCATTCATTCAGTTGAAACTCATCCTTCGTGCACCTGCGTTGGATGTTGACTTATCCATACCTTTTAGTTTTGATTATTGTAACTCGACAGTACAGCTTTTCTTCAAATTTTACAGAAACCTCGTTTCAAATTTTGAAGAATAATAAAAGACAAACTTTTGAACAGTTTCTGCGAGGGCTTTCGTATTTCACAATCTTGTAAAATTATGAAAAGACCCTTCTTTGAATTTATTTTTCTCTTGACCTTGACTTACATTTGAGATTTTATATAATGGCATTCAATTAGATGTGATTTTCGTTCAATGGCACTCATTTACAATTTTTTTTCAATTACTCCCTCTCTGATCTGATCAGTGGTAAAATAACTGGTTTCAAATTTCCAACTTCTGGATTTGAATAAAACATTACAACGCCGTTTCAAAACCTTTGCTGAATTACATAATTTAACATGCATAAGTTTTTTCCCTGTTCGTCCGTCTGTCTGTTTGTCCGCAAAAACTTCCTAGGATCCCAACAATAATATTTTGACTCCTTGATCTTGAAAACTTTAACATTGGCTAAAACTTTTGAACAGTTGTACTATTTTTTTTTTTTTTTTTGGTTACTTCTTGTATTTGTGACGAGATCTTCTGCGTACTAACAATTTTGATGTAGTGTTTGTTGTTTAACGTCCCTCTCGAGAATTTTTCACTCATATGGAGACGCCACCACTTACTGGTGGAGAGCTGAAAATTACGTACTGTGTTCCCCCAAAACATTCGGTGCCCCAAAATAAAACCTGCTTCCATAGAGCGACATTTGCATCTGACTGATAGGAAAATCTCATATTTTTGAGAAATTATAGGCTATAAATAGTTTTTTTTAAAGTTAAATTGGGGAGCGGTTTAGTTTTTGAACCACGCCTCAGAAGACAGTGGTCATCAGTGCTCTCTGGGCCTAGACTTCTCCTATTTTAAGATTTAAAAAAGAGTGTTATTTATTATCAATGTATAATCGTGAGCAATTGTAGTTCATAGTTCACTGGCCCTTCAGAAAATAAAAATAAAAAAAATCCGCTTTTCTGCATGTGTTGTAAGAGCTATATAGCCCTTTTCTGCTTATTCTTTTCAAGCACAGACGAAAACAAGACGGAACTTTATTTGAAACTCAATATGTAAGCACTAACATTTGCTAAACATTTTCCCCCTGTCTCTTAAGCATGCACCAACGAAATCGAGAGCAACATTAAATATCAGAAGATCGTCGACCAGTTTTCCACTCTTAAATCACCGCGTGAGGGTCATTTTAAGTGTATGAATACATGAACTGTTATGACCGAGATACTCCCTATGGTTGAAAGATCGGTTCCTTCCCGTTCTTTATGTATATCTCTTCTCTCAGGTCATCTTTCCTCTCCTTCCCTGAAATTACCATTTACTATGGTAAATATAAAATAAATTATGAAGTAATTCAACACCTTAGTGATCAAGTATCAAGTCATTTTCCAGCACAATTCAGTTTTCCTACCAGTGAGCTGATTTGTAATATGAACACACTCATTCATTTCCTGTTTTAGTTCAGTTATTTTCCAATAGAGAACAACTCATCCTCTGTGTCAGTTAGTATGATTACCTAATGTACATGAATATAAAACATTCCTCTATTGTACACATTGACCGGTCAACAAGGGATGCTTATTCCTCTAAACCACCTGATTCAGCCTCTGGGATTTCTAGAAGTCTGTGTTTTATGCCCTCTTCATACATCTGTATTGTATAAACCAGCGGATTTTATTATGAGATTGATATCTGTTTGTTGTCTTCACCATTTCATTACAATGTATATCTGATACAAAAAGCCTAATCTAGATACAGAACATTCGGTTTTGGTTTTCTTTTTTTCTCAAGTTGAAGATGATGCTTTACTGATTTAAATACAAATATTTCTCAATTTTCCTAATAACTCCAAGAAAGATATTATCAGGAAAACATCAGTTTTTTTGCCCCCGTAAACGAAGTTTCTATATAGTTTTTGTCGTGTCCGTCTGTCTGTCTGTCTAGCTGTCTGTTTGTCTGCAAAAACTTTAACTTTGCCCATAACTTTTGATTTAGTGGAGCTATGACTTTCATATTTCACATGTGTATTCCTTGTGACAAGACCTTTCTTTGGGTACCACTAAATTTGACCTTCACCTTGGAGTTTGACCCATTTTTACACAAAAAAACTTTTATTCTTAGCTAACGTTAGGGTTTTATATTTATTTCTAATTTTTTTCTTGGATAACTCTTTGAAATCTTTTGATAATTCTGCCGGAATGTAAATTAGGCAGGTCGATAGGTCAGGTGCTAAGGACTTTCAGACTTCATATTTTTATTCTTTGTGGAAAGACTATTGAAATTGGCATGGAAGTTCGTGTAATTTAAGTCTATGTCTACCAACATTTTATTTCACTGAAAATTGACCTTGACCTTGGAGCATTTTCGTTACTATATGAAAAACTTTAACCAAATATATTTGGCCATAACTTCAGATCCCGTAAAGCAAAAAGGTGCAATTAAGGGCCATATTTTTTGCACTTTTGGGGAGAATTTTCATACTTCACATATATAATCCTTTGTGGAAAGACCTTTCATTGAGTACCAACAACTTTGACCTTGACCGCTTGAAAAAACTTTAACCTTGGCCATAACCAAGAATTTTGACTTCACATATGTAATCCTTGTGAGGAGTTTGACCTACCTGTTTGACCTACTTTTAAAATACAACATTGACCATAATTTTTAAGGGTTAGGACTAGGGCTTTCATACTCCATCTATCTAATCCTTGTGGCAAGACCTTTCATTTGAAATCAACACTTTTGACCTTCACGATTTCCGTACTTACAAAAAACTTTAACCTTAGCCATAACTTTTAATGGTAAGGGCTAGGGCTCTCATACACCATATATGTAAACCTTGTGAGAAGTCCTTTCATTGAATATCAACAACTTTGATGTTTGACCTACTTTTTACAAATTTAACCTTGGCAAATCTTAACTTTTGACCTCACATATGTAATCCTTGTGAGAAGTCCTTTAATTGGATATCAACAACTTTGACTTTGACCTTGATGTTTGACCTGCTTTTTACAAACTTTAACCTTGGCCATAACATTTGAACAGTAAGGGCTAGAGCTTCGTATTTCACATATGTAATCCTTGTGACAGACCTTTCACTGGATATCAACAACTTTGACCCTTCGATCTTGGAGTTTTACCTACTTTTTACAAATTCTAACCTTGGCCATAACTTTTGAACGGTAAGGGCCAGCAATTTCACACTTCCCATATGTAATCTTTGAGACAAGGCCTTTTTTTTAAAGAAACCAACAAACTTGTCCCTTTGACCTTGATCCCAGAGTTTGTCCTACTTTAAAAATGTTAACCTTGGTCATAACCTTTGAACAGTAGGTGCTAGGGTTTTATATTTCACATGTGTATTTCTTGTGAAAATGCCTTACTTTAGGTACCAACATATTTGATCTGCATTTGAGAAAGCTTAACCTTAGCTATGTTGCCATGTACGGGCATCTGTGTTTCACAAACACATCTTGTTTGTAACTGGTGTGATTATAGTTTGAGAAGCTCTCTACCAGAACAGTACAACAGTGTTTAAGATTGATGTACACGTTTATTAAGTGACAGTTATATTACAGAGTATGATATGAGAAACAATAAGAAGGTGTGGCCAGCCTTACAATACCCCCCTCTCCACAGACCTCGGTTTGCATAGAGCATGCAGCATCAAAATACAGGTATCAACACAAAGCACTAGGTAGTATACACTAACGGGAATACACAATGGGATACAGATCAAATACCATACATGCAAAATTTGTTAAAGCAATTGTCGTTTGTTTCACTAGCAATATTAGCACTAGAGTATCTTTTGCTATGTTAATTATTTATACTCGTATTTGAGTTTCCATACATTGTATACATTTCAATTGTGTAGCTTGCTCATGACAATTAACAGACTCAGGCAGTTGTGTTTCTTCTTGATATTTTTCTAAGTAGAAGAGGAACTGGCTGTATTCTTAATAATTGCTAACAAGAACAAAGCAGTCACAAATCTTGCATACATTTCTGAAGCATATACAGCAGTTGGAATTCTGGCAGAAATCCCCCAGAGAGAGAAAATCAAAATGTTTGCCTAACTTGTTATTAACTTCAGAAACATATAATCTAACATATGAATAATTTTGGTAAAAGGATTTTTCCTTGAACTGCAATACTATGATAATGGACTCAATTTGTCTATAATGCCTACTACAGATTGTAAAATCCACAACTACATTGTATATTAAGTATTATATTCCTTCAATTTTAGAAAATAATAACCAATTTCTTCTTTCTACTATTGTTTCTTTTGACATCCCTATATTTAAATGCACCAAAAATCATTGCATTAAAAACATCTCAAAATAAGCTTTCATAGACAAACAAGTCAAAGAGGAAAAGGCACCAAAATATAAACAGTAGAGTTCAGCATGTTAGCATTATCTGTGAATGCTTCACACGCTTACTTACACAGATATAAAAAAAGTATACAAAAATACTAATAAAGCAATTGTAAATACAAAGCTATAACTTAATTACCAGTTAAAATTCTGGCTAAATTCAAACTGAGACTAGTACAGTATAATGCATATCATAAGATATACAGGTCTGTTGGAACAGTTCATACTAATTAAAGAATAAAACATTGGCACAGGAGATGTTATAAGTCATGATTTTCACGCTTTTAGCTCTAGCTAATATCAAATACCAAATATGTAACAAGTTCAGTTAGTCTATCTTAATTAAAATCAATCACACGTTAATCTTTTCAGGTGGGATTTATCTGTTAGGCAAGACTACAGGAATTAAATTTCTCTCTAACTTTCAGCTGTAAATTATCATATCTGTTACATATATTCATAAAAAAAGCATATTTCCAAAACAAAAATTCTATCATTTTCATCGCAGTTCTCATCAAATAAAGGCCACAATATATTGCAGTGAGTGATCTACGTCTACGGAATATATGTCCAGGATTAATCATCCCAATCTTTCTTAATTTCGAATTTCCACTTCCACTCCAGAATGGGATTTTTATCGTCATCTGTAAACTTGCTTTCTACGGTGTATGACCCTCGTACCAGCATGCCAGATGGGGCCTCATCTTTAGGGGTCAGGTATTCGTGGGCCTTTTCACTAGGGCCATAGCTACCAACCATGAATTTCGATTTGTCAACTGTTAAAAAAGAAAGTACTTGTTTAAAAATTATGGAGAAAATAATTTTAAATAAATGGACATTAAATAATGTAATCCTAGCTCCTAAATAATTGCGTTCATATCACTGCACATCCTTCTACATATAAGATATGTTTACTTGAAAGTATTTCCCCTGTCCATTTTAATTCTTAAATTAGGAAACAAACCAATATAAATCCTACACATATATAATGACATAAGTAAGGTAATACTTTAATAGGATTGTATTATTTACAACTAATGCTAGCTGGACATAAATGTATTTAGTAAAATACAGGAACCTTCTTCTGTTACAGCATGGAATGATATACATTTTCAGTGTTATTTGCTATTCAATGCTATAGCTTTGCTTGCTGTAAGCAAAGCTAGAAATGTTTTGCTATTCAATGCTAGCTTTGCTTGCTGTACGCAAAGCTAGAAATGTTTTGCTATTCAATGCTAGCTTTGCTTGCTGTTAGCAATGCTAGAAATGTTTTGCTATTCAATGCTAGCTTTGCTTGCTGTTAGCAATGCTAGGAATATTTAATACCATGATTATATCCTCCTTGTTATGACCTGTAACTGTGCTTCTTTAAATTTATCAATTGCAAAGTGTAAATACCGGTAAACATAATTAATGCTGATCAATGCAGACTATGCTATGATGCTGATGACAGTTGTTGTGGCAGTTAATTTTTAAATATAACTAAGAAATATTATTATTTCTATCATCATAATAATGTAATAAATTTGTGCTTGTTTTGAAAAAAGAACTGACTTTGAGGTCTATCTTACAAGTATAAAATTTGTAAGGTAATCATAAGACCAAAACTATTTTAATACTGGACCTAGATATTTATTATCTATATTCTAGACATGCTGATGCTACCAATGCTGATTTTTTTGGCTGGCAGTGCTTAGCTTTTTGATGGTTAATTATGCTGCTAATTGTTTCTTTGTGAATCATATTGCTGATGCTGATTAAAGTACCAGAAAAAGGTCCCTCTATTGTTCTATACAACAGTAAATAATGCAGTATGGAATTGGATGTACAGATGAGTAGCCATAGAACATGTTAATTATGTATCAGTTGGATTCAGTCATGCAAATCTACTTAGCCTTAAAACTTAATCAGAAACATTGCTTTTTTCTCCATTTATATATTTCGGATTTCCATAAATCAAAACTAGTTTATCTTGAGCAGTTTTTGAATTTCTTTGTTATTTTTTAGGGCTATTCTAAAGAAACTGGTTACAAACATGACAGAGGGTCTTAATTTATGCTATATGTTACTACACCATAAAATAATTTACTACATCGTAAATGTGTGGCATTCCAAGATGAAATATTTGGCACATTCTATACTGTTATAAATATGTCATCTATTTTTTTGAAACATTCATCATTGCAGATAACAACTTTTATACCATAACAATAAATGATACATCTATTTGAGTATTTTCACAATAGCTTGTTAGTATAGGTAACATCAATGTTATTGGACAATATTAAATTACCAGCACCGAGAACATCTAAAAGAAAGTCAATAACCCTCGATTAAAAAGTCTCCTTAAAATTAAACCTACAAAACAATTGTACCATTGTTGTCAAATGGTAAAATCGCTGAGCACAGGTAAAAAGAAAACTTATCTACTGATATACACTTCCTTTTTCAGTTTATATTTAAATTACAACAGGAGTTAACATTGAAGTTCTTTCAATAAGTGAAATGTAGCTTCCTTATGAGCCCCACTTATTACTAATCATATGTGCATGAAATCTATTGTTACTTCAGCTCTAACCTTGAATTCCTTTCCTAGAGGTTTTTTGTTCATATCGTAGACCTGAGACAATTTCTCGCTGTACATAGAATGACACTTTCATTCTGTAAGTAGCTCCTTCTTTGATTGTAAACACTTGTTCCTTTAGTTTAGATAGATCTCCTGTAAAAATATTAAAATACCAATCAGAAACTATAATTTCAGTAAGATTTAAATTTCATATTAAAAGTACATTTCAAATTAAAGGTTCAAATACAAGGTACATTTTACCTCAATAATGAAGATCCTAAAGGTTCCTCACAAAATGATTTTTCAATTTTTATCAATAAAATTATTTCCTTAATGCATGCAATAATTATAAAACTTTCCATTTAACATGCACTTCTTGGTAACACAATGAATAACACAGCACAAACACCCACTTCCACTATCATTTACTGTGACCCCCCCCCCAAATAAGGCTACCAAATAATTCAGATGATATTAAGTCAAAATCTCAAGCCATACTCTTTTTTCATTTATCTTTACAATATTTTTGTCCAACATATCAAACACTGTATTTTTAATGTGAAAATTTTCACAGTTTCAATACAGTTTGTTCTAGTCTTAAGGAATGTGTAAAAATTTGAACACCATGCATATGGTTCAGAAAACTTGAAGGCCAGGCTGCATGGGGGAGGATCAAAAGAGGCACTTTGTGCATCATATTTTCTGTGATGTTTGTTAACAGAGTTCTATACAACATGAAGAACACTGACTATCACTTTTCCCATCATTGGTGAAGCAATGCCATTGTTTTTAATGTTTTAAACCATTCAATCACTTACCTATTTCTAGAGAAATGAATACAAATATTAACAATTAATTCAGGTCACATTTACAATACATACAGATAAAAAACTCATAAATGCTTAAGTAGTACATTTATATATAAATATGTATAGACTCTTCACTTCCCCTTTCTAATCTACTAAACAATGATACGATCTACCTAATACATGCACATTTGCTATGATAAATAATTCAAAGCAAATAATTGACATATTTGAAAATAAATGATTGTGCTCTACTTAAACTGTTTGCCGTACCTGTAAGGTCCAACTCTTTGTCTGATCGGCCCTCGACCACCAGGGACAATTTGGAAACTATAACATTACGGGGGTCCTCAGGAACTGTAAAAAATAAATGCCTTATATCAACACATATAGAACATATCTATAGTCTTACTTAATATGCCTCAATAAAAAATGTTTATCGTAATTCTTACTCAACTTTTAATCCAAATTCAAAAGATATTTTCAATATTGTCCTGGAAAATTGGAATTTAGTTATTTTGTTTCCCTTCACTTTTAGTATAAATACAAAAAATTGTAATTAACAATATGCATAGATTGATGAACTTTGAATTCATTAAATCAAGAAACTGTTTAATGTTTTTCAAAGAGCAACTTGCCAAGTCTTAAAACACAAGTGATCTGAGATACAGGATTTCTTACATGGAGGATTAACTTGTTTGGCAGCGCCCCCTAATAGAGATTCCTTATATTTGCGTAGACTTTCATCTTCCTGGTCCGCTTGGAGAATTTCCTGCACAGATTTTTGTGCTGGGGGTTTGTAGTTAGGGTCATCTTCATGGTCTCCCTCTACTTCGGGTTTCGTTTCTGCTTCTGCCATATTTTCTGCACAGAAAGATGAATTACATGTATTACAAATAATTTGTATTGATATGCTAGTTTAGTATTCCTCACAATGATTTTTTTTAAAAAAGGTTTAAAACTATGTCTCCTTATAAATTGGAGTTAATATTCCAGTGTTAAATGGTTTAATTTCATATAAACTTTTGACTGGGAGTTGTAATACAACAAGAATAAGGACCACTGACTCGTTTATTTTTCTCTGATACTGTATGTGTACAAAAATTGGTGTATTCAAAATTTAATCCTGATTTTGCACAGATCTGACACTACATAAATGTTTTGTGAGGTGCATGTTTTAACAGGCCAAGAATTGATAAAATGAAAAAAATATCTTCTTACTTTTGATCAATAATTTTTTTTTCACGAGAGGGCATTTTAATGAGGCGGGAGGAATTCTAAACAACCAATAATTTTATTTATTTTGTCAAAAGGAATCTTGCATCAAACTTAACTCCCAAGACTATAATGTAACCTATTAGAATGTTTTTCCTGCAGTAACTCTGGACCCACAATGCATTCCTTGTTCTAAATTCTAGGAAGAATAACAACAAAAGTTAAATGGAAATAAACTCACATTGATGTAATGGATATATTGCAGATAAATAGAAAATGAAACATTCTTCATTAAAATCAGCAACACTCAGGCTTTGTTTTGCTAATGAAACTTATATACTATGTCATTTGATGTCAGAGTTTAGAAGTGCAGTTTGAAGAGACACGTCTACATACAGTTTATAAACAGTACACTGAAAAGGATTCTGTGCTTGCCCTAAAGATGGCATCATTGATCAACATATTATTGTTATAGAATACTCATGGATAGGTTGTATCCATCACACACATGAATATAATATAAATCTTTAACTATGTCTATGAAAATCATGAACACTGAAACCTTATTGAATAATTCTGACCAGATAATTAATGCAAATTTGCAAAAAAAGGAATATCAGATTTAGGTTATGGTTGCACAAAGAAAAACATACAATGGGAGTTGAGTAAGTAAGTGAACAAGTCTACTGTATATATAGGTAAGGGTGTGATACAGTATCAGAAACAGGAAGCTATGGACAGATGTGTACACCTGCCCATCTCCCTCCCAGGAAAACACTACAAAAATCTGACATTTCTATTCCTTGCCATAGATGAATAAAAGATTATCTAAATATAATGTTTACAATTACAAAGGCGCATAAATGTGATAAAATTATAAATGTGTTTATACCCTGAATCCTTTTCAATGGTTAGCCTCCTCGCCCAATGAATACGCTTCCGGCTTTTACAGCGGCTCTTTTTCGTCATTCGCGGCAGTAAAAAATAGTTCTAGAAAATTTTTGTGAGTAGAATGAAATTAACCTCATATACATTAATACAAATATTGAAATACTTGGTAAAACAAAATTTTTAAGAAATTATTTATTTTGAGATTAATTCTTGATGGATTGCAGATACAAATTAATACGCATGACCTTTGACCCTGAAACATGCTGAATGTTGCATGTGATGTAATTTTGGGTAAGCAGAGTTGACAGTTATTAGTCATTAGAATATATCAAGCAAAAATTACATTCAGCATTATTATTTATCGTGCTTTGACAAGATATGAGTTAGAGAGCATCTTGGTGTTAATCACTTGTGAATACCAAACCCGACCTTATTTCTGCAGCCTCCTGACAATCATATTGGATGCTCCAAAGTTTAGTGCCTGCCTACTTTTTCACTTCATTATGTTCTTACTTACTGTATGCATTGATGTATTTGGAGCTAACAAACAGTACTAAAGTAATGTCATACAAATTAAGTGGTAACATTAATTAGTACATTTTTGCAATGACCATAAATGGCACGCAAGTGTATTAATTAAACGTTATATTATACAGACAGTAAAACCTCATTATCTCAAACTCAGTGGGACTGATGGAAAACTTGATTTCCAAGATATCAATTGTAAAATACCAAAAGAAAAAGTGGATTGGGCTTCCAAATCGCTTCAACATTTCGATGATTATATTCTGAGACGATACCAGCGTTTTAAAGATACTTTAGTTCAACTGTACAGTAGATAGCTGTTTGTACAAGATTTTACCTGTTTGATGATATCAAAATAAAGTCAACTTTTTAAATATGAGGTCTTTATTGCTTAGGTTTCCTCTGATTAAACATGTATATTCTACCGAGGATTTGTTCCCGGCACCTGCGACAGCTCTGTCGGAAATCTTTTTTCCGCTATGCCTCAACATCATCACACGATGTCCCTCATGTCTGCATCGTAGGGAGTGGCCCGGCAGGATTTTATACTACGCAGCAAATTCTAAAGGTATATAACATTTCTTTAGGTGTTTTAAAATTGATGCAGCTAAAAAAAAATTTCCAGCAAAAGTTTCTTGAAAACCCCTATACTGACCCTCCCCAGGGCTCGACATGCTGCTGAACTATGTAGAGTCAGCTTAGAAGTTAACAAGCTGTATCTAACAGGAAAAGATAAAATGTATAGCTGGAGAGAAGTTGAACCTGGGACCCCTACATCACTGGTCGGGTGGTGCAAGTGTTAACATATATTCACAGGCCAAACCATTAAAAAGCCCAGAAAACTGGAACAGAGATTGGAGAAATTTAGCATCAGTTATTGGTTTAACAGAAATATGATTTGGGATTATACCCGCGCCACTCATTAACTTACTTCATTTAAGGTTTAACCCTCTTGTAAAAATGTTTTGAGCATAAGGGGAATTGTGGGGGAGGGAGGGCATAGGTATCTAACATATTTGATACTCACTTGTTAGTAACATTTCAGTGTTTGGTATCCTGAAGTTATATTTTAAATGAGAAAGTTGAAAATTTCAGAGGGAGAGGAATGGTGTCATTTAACAACTCCCTCCTAGCTCCTCTCCTCCATTCCTAATTTGTCCCTGACTTCTATATGTACATGAACTCACTGATGGACAGTATTTAACATTAACATTATTCCAATTTAAGGGAAATCCAGCAGCTAGGGTGGACATACTGGAGAAATTGCCAGTTCCGTTTGGACTTGTGAGATTTGGGGTAGCTCCTGATCACCCAGAAGTCAAGGTTACTTTTTCAATCCTTTTTTTTTTACAGCTGTCTAAAGGCGAATAAGCTAATTAATATTTACATGTAGAGGTTTTTAGTAGTTGTTAGAATCCTTTAAATTTAGACTATTTTTATCAGATTCTATTAAATCCTGTGAGAAAAAGAAGAAGATGATGGACAGGAAAAGACAAATTATGGATCCAGTGCCTACATTTTTAATTCATACAGAGAGACCAATCTTTTGTAGAATGTTATCCACACTTTCACCACGACTGCCAGAAATCAGAGATGTACATTTATAGGAAATGTGGAGGTCGGTAAAGACATCTCAATAGAAGACCTGCAGAAGGCATACACTGCTGTAGTTCTGGTAAATTTATTACTGTGCTGAAGTTTACACTGCTAGGGTCCTTAGAAATCTGTTACTGTAGATTAAAAATTTCCACAACACCTTATTTTTGTGAGATAGTCATTGACCCTTGATAAGTGAGACAAAATTTTTACGAATTGTGTTAACTTTATTGCTCTATATAATTTTAAGGAATACTTTTAAACTTGAGAATTAAAATTTCGCAAGCACACTGTAATTACGGGAATATAAAGTTCTCGCAAATTTAAAGTGATTTACAGTATTTTGTCTACACAGCTGTAGTCCTTGTAAATGTGTAGCTTAACTTTTTAGCTTTTTCCATATGATACCCTGTATCAGCCTCGACACCAATACATGTATCAGACAGAGGGTTAAAGACTGAGGACTGATATTGGTCTATGACTTTTGACTAATACAGGTTGTGATATGGAAAAGAATGTCAGGATTGGTATATTAAAATTAAAAAGAAACTTGTCTTTATTTATGAATTGGGTCTTAAATGGTTAAATACGACTCTACATATAAGATTAGATGATTATTTGTAAACAATGGTATATAAATTTTAAAAAGCATTGGTAATGGTAAAAACTCTGTTTTACAGGCCTATGGTGCTGATGATGACAGAACACTTGCAATAAAGGGAGAGGTAAGGTCCAGAAGTTTTATATTAGCTTATGATACTAACATTTATTTCAAAGTCACTTATAGAATAATCTTAAAATTCCTGTCCTATGCATATCTTGTAATGGAGAGAATTAAAGAAATATATGTAACACATCTATTACATCTGATCTGAGGGTATGTATTCAGCATGATCCAAGGTCATTCCTGCAAGTTCAAGGTCACTGGGAAGTCCTGTCTATAACTCTCAAATTAAGGCTAATTAGAAGTTTATATTTGTCATTAAGAAAGTTGTGTTTTGATCTAACATAAGCCAAGTTCAAAGTCATTGGCTGATAAAATGTTAAAGTCATGTCTGATCTAATGGCTTTGTAATAGATTAACATAACATTAGAAGTTCATACTTCCCACAAATATTACTTATATATCATGACCTTGACCCAAAGTCATTCTTAAATACTCAAGGCCACTGGAAGAAAAATTATGAAAGAAATTTGTTGGAAATTGAAATAACACAGTACAAGCATCAGATGAGTAAAAGATGAGATCACCCATTGGTATACAATGATGATTTATGTGATTCTCATTTTACAGGATAATCCAAATGTGATCTCAGCCAGATCTTTCGTTGGTTGGTTCAATGGACTGCCACAAGACAAAGATGTATGTATATTGTATATCCTTGCTCAATGTTGATGTCTATTTATTGAATTTTAAAACTAGGAATCTATACATGGTCCTCTGTATTTTACAGCTGCCTGTAGATTTAGATGTGGAGAATGTGGTTATCCTAGGACAGGGAAATGTGGCTCTTGACGTGGCCCGGATTCTGCTGACACCAATCAGCATATTACAGGTACAACTTCTGAGTTGTCAGTGTTAAATCTTTCATAGTTCACTTGTATATTCTTTTTGGTAAGCTCTTTTTTGAGACCAAAATGTTATATGTCTTAACTTGGAATTTTACCAAATTTTAAAAACTTTGATAACCTTGGTCTTGACCTGTAATTCAGTTTTACAAACACATATAGTTTCTTTTATCCTTTGAAACTTGGAGCATCAGTAAAACTAGTTCTAACATAACTGAATTTTAAAATAAACTCCAAGGGGACATTAAGTTGACAGAATATGTTTTAATTTTCAGAAAACAGATATATCTCAGCATGCATTGGATGCTCTGTCACGAAGTCGAGTAAAAAAGGTGTACATTGTGGGCAGAAGAGGTCCCTTACAGGTTGCCTTTACAATCAAAGAGCTGAGAGAGATGACCAAGCTACCTGACTGTAGACCCGTCATTCATAAAGAGGACGTAGAAAATCTAGACCAGGTCATAAAAGGTAGATCACTATTTTAAATGGGTATAACAACATGCATAAAAGGGAATGCTTAGCTTTGCCAATTGAAGTCTGGCAGAGTTTACGCATGTGAAATGTGTCCGTAATCCGTCTATTTGTCCGTTTATCTGTTTATATTTTCTTTAAACTTAACAGTATATAACTGTCCAATTTTTTTGTAAATTTTTTTTTTCAGTTTTAAAAGAAGTTAAAAATATTCAACACCCTATCTTCAGTTCATTTTGACTTTTAATTTTGAAGATCTCCCCCGCCCTAGAAAGAGGCTGACAGAACTTCTGTATAAGATATGTATGGCGCCCTCTGACACAGACACTCGTATCTGGTCTCAGGCCTCCAGGGAGTGGGAGCTCAGGTTCAGACTCAGTCCTGTAGAAATAAACCAGAGGGAGGGGAAAGTCACAGGTGTCCAGTTCTGTGTCAACCAGCTCCAGGTGGGAAACTTTTAAATATATAATGAAATCACAAATTTTTTTTTTGGGGGGGGGAGACTTTTGTTGTATTCATGGTATAAAGAGAATTTTGAGACTCACAAATTTATGTTTCCCATGAATTCATCGTCTCAAGCCACGTTCCGGAGTCCGCATATATAGCTCTCTCCTACCCGTGGCTGCTTGATCACAAAAAGTGTTGTAATCTTGAATATTTACGCCTCTCTATTGTGACGTCATATTCAGTCAGTGGCAAGTTTTGTTTCCATCACAATTGAAATCAACAACTGACGTCAACAGTATACAAGAAATGTTTCCTTTAGGCCAGATAAAATTAATCTTTAGATTCTCATCCCCGCCCGCCCCTCTCAAAGTGTCCCGCCCCAGTGTTTTTTATTTTGATTTTTGGGTGTTAAAAGTATATTTTTATGTCTTTTTATTCAGTAAGAATTTGGATCAAAGTTTAAGAGTTATCTCCCGTTTGTATCAAAAGTCGCGTGTCGCTATTTATAGCAAAGAGCCATGTGAAGAATGGAGAAAAATCGGCAATAAAAGCAGTTTAGATATGAAAAGAAAAGATAATGTGTCAGCATAGAGAAGGCAGAGAAGAAAAAATAGCATAAACACTTCTTGATAAGCAAGTTTTTGAAGAGACTTTAAACTACTAGGTAAAAATTGTTGAGGGAAATGCACCTGGTCAAGGTTTAACGATCTCCACTGTATGTGATTTTGTATAAAAGAAATATATAAATAATACATCATTGGCAGAATTTAGAGAATAATAGTGTTAAGAATATGTTAAATATCAAAACTGTTTAAGCCTATTTCAGTAGAATATTTTATAGATTTTGCAATTATGACCTACTTCAATGTCAAACATGTAAAGGCCCAAGAACAATCGGATTTTTGAGAAAGGTGGAAATATGTGATATTTTACCCAAATTTTTAAACAGAAGGATTTGTTGGTGAAACTAAAAAGTATTTGGGGGAGAGGCCTATGAGAAGTCATACAAATCTATTCATATAGGCATTAACATAAGGAAAATTTGTGTAAGAAAAATCCATGTTTTCTTGATAGTTTCAATTATATAATAAAATCAATTTTTTAGCAAATTAGGATGAGAATCTAAAGATTAATTTTATCTGGCCTTACTGCGATTGGATATTGAAAAGTTGCGATAAAGTTCATCATCCGACTATGCTTTACTCGCATTGGTCAATATTTTAATGAGAGAATTTTGAGTTTAACCACAAATTTATGCCGTGGTTTGCGACGATGCATGAATTGTGAAACTGCAAATATATGTCATCTCAAGACTTCATCAAAACCAGAAAAATAAAATCCTTTTTCCTTAAGTCACAAAAAATTAAATTAAGTGTGAGTTTATTTTGGTCTAATATTGTTTTTTTTTTTATTATTGTTTTAGGGAGATGATCTGATCAACAAGAAAGCTGTGGCCACATCAGCAACAGAACACATTGACTGTGGACTAGTAAGGATTTCTCTACAGAAATGACAAGAAATGAATTATTAGAATCTATCAGAAAAATGACAGGTGTTTTGTATTGAAAATGTTAATCCTCTAACTCTGATTCCAGGTTTTCAGAAGTATAGGATATAAAAGTGTTCCTATAGATCCAAGTTTACCTTTTGATACAAATAAAGGGATTATCCCTAATAAAAAAGGAAGAGTCAAAGATAAGCCAGGCAAGTAATTCTAATGGTGCATGTGTATCAGGCAAGTAATTTTTAATGTACCCGGTAAATTACTAATTCGAAAGATAACCCTTGCAAGCTATTCTATTACATGTATTTAAACTTGTTATGGTAAGTCTTAAGTTACACTTTAAAATTCATTGGATTCTGATTCTCAAGAAACTTTAAACTTTTAATAAATATTTTAAAAGTGTTTCAATGTACTTTTATAAAGTTACCACTAACCAAATGGTCCGTTGGTCTATAACTTGAGTGCTTTAGGTCTGTACTGTAGTTGATGGGACAACATGGGATAAATCTTACTCATCCTTATCTTGATTGCTTTAGGTCTGTACTGTAGTGGATGGGTCAGCACAGGACCGGTAGGAGTTATCCTCAACACCATGACAGGGGGATTCGAAACAGGAAAGATAATTCTCAAAGATCTGGAGGATGGTGTCATCACTTCTGAGGGAAAACAAGGCAATAAAATGATCAAGGAAATCCTAGAATCTAAAGGTAGCTGTGGGCTTATGTTTTTGTCTTTATTTTTTTAATAAACAATGCATCAAAATGTAAAAATATCCAGGTCTATGATGTATATGCATGATAAGTATTGGAGGACTGGTATATACTAGAAATTGGTTTTAAAAAAAAACATCTTATAATAATGCAGGTAAACAGATGGTGACATTCTTGGACTGGGACAAGATTGACGAGGAAGAGATGAAGAGGGGAAGTGTCCTAGGAAAACCAAGAGAAAAGATTACAGACATCTCAGAAATGCTGACAGTGGCCAAGTCCTAAATAAAAACAATGACTATCTTATTCTGGGTGGGGGTGGTTGGTATTTATGCTGAGAGTAGCCAAATCCTATCAAGAAAAACAATGACTGTCTTACACGGGAGGGGTGTGTGTTTATTTATTAGATATCATGCAGCATCAAGATGCAGATGCCCTTTAACAATCCCCATGGCACATCTCAAAATGTTACACAGATCTGACCAAATAATTAAAGGAGATGGGTGAACAAGGTGTGCAGAATGCCTATAGCTTCAAATATATAAGAATCATTGTGAATTTAGTATTTAGAGTTATGTTCTTGTCAGTAATATTTATGACCATATGATAAAAAAAAATTTCCTGAGGATTTTTTTTTTCCAAAAAGTTATTCTGTAATTTAAAACATCTGGTATTGGTGGGGTTAATAACCTTAGCAACAAAAATTGAGACTAACACACTATCAACAATGCTATGGAGCTCATGATGAATGGTGGCATATGATTCATCCTTTTGATATGACCCTGGATGAAATGGATTTCAAGTATTTCTGTGAAAGATGTCAATGTTGTGTCATAAAAGTGTAATTTTAAGGTATAGTGGGTCTTTGCACCACTTTCAAAAATGTGGATGGAAGACCCACTTATAATGAGAAATAGGGTTATAGTTACTATTAGTGTGAGAAGATCCTTGTTTTCCTTTTTAGTGTACAGTGTATGTATACTATTTCTAGGCAAATAATTTCAACCTATATGAGCTAATTTTTGAAATTTGAGGAGATTTTACACATGGTATACTTTAATTTCAATATAATTTAAAAAAAATTATAATAGGGATTTAATTTTTCACCTTCTTGTTTGTCAAACTTGGCTTGCCTTGTTCACCCATCTTCTTAATTAATAGTACCTGTAACTGCATGTAATCTTTAAGAAACTGAAGGATAATGTTATAGTTATTGATTTTTAACTGTTTTATCTCTTTGAACATGGGCATTTAAAGATTTGAATCATACAATGTATGTATGCTAAGTGCAGAATGTGTAAAAATAAATAAAATTATGCATATATTTATTAAGATATTTATATTTTTATTTAGATTTTTAGCTCTACTGGTTAATCTAAAAGATCATAATAGCTTATGCAATAGGCAGGTGTCCTTCATCCCTCTGTCTAGCGGTCTGTTGGTGTTCAACAATCCAACTTTTTTCAATGCCAACTTCTTTCAGTACCCATTTTTTTGCATACAGCACATTCCCGGGATATCACTTTACTGTGGGAAAAAAGTGCCCCTCCCCCCCAGCCCCCTGTTGCTACGTGCTTGGTTTGGGGGACCAGGCCCCAGGATCATGAAACAGACCTGTAGATAAACATTTTCAATCACCTGTAAAATATTAATACCCCCCGCTTGAAAAGTGGGAAAAAGTCCCTGGCCACCTGTTGCTAAGTGCCTGGTTTGGGGGACCAGGCTTAATTACAGGATTGTGCACCTCCTATTTTAACAGATATAGATTTTAAAGCAAAACATGGACACTGCCATTATATTCATATGGGAGGTGGGGGTATCATTTAGTGAGCTCATTGCTCACAGTACCTCTAGTTAATTATTGAAATAATCTCTAAATTTGCAGATTGAGAAAATTGTAGAGAATTTTTTTGTTTAGTTGTATGACTTCTGTAGCATTTTAATAAAACATTAAGATTTTGACTTAAAGTTAGATGTTTCATGATGCCAGCGCCTGATTATCTAACAATCTTTTGAAATTCCCATGGGTACCAACTGCACCCTGTTATTAGCAGACCTATTTTTGTATAAATATAAAACAGAATTTATTCAAAAATACGTCCTTGAGAAAAAAAATTTTGAGTTAATAACTCAAAATTTAGATATATCAAGGACGTATTTCAATTAGCAATGATTATTTTCATTCAAGAAATATAAAAATGTTTATGGAGGTAAGGAACCGTATTCAAACTCAAATGTCCGCTTAATAATACAAAATTTGAGGAGAGCAACACGGACCTCCAAAATATCAGAGGTGGGATCAGGTGCCATGGATGAGTGAGCATCTTCTGCCGACCAATCACACAAATTGGATATTTTACTTGAAAATGACTTTGGTGGTAATCTAACAACCAAGCTTTGTGATAAATTTAAAATTTCAATCATCAGCTTCCCTAATTTATGCAGCAATATACCTTCATCACCATCATCATCATCATCATCATGCATGCGGAGTTTACATATCTCAGTTGATTCGATACACAAGAGCATGCTCTACGTATGAATAATTTGATAAATCTCTAAGGCGATGTAAGTTATTGACAAACAAGTTCATGAAACAAGAATATCAGCAGTCTCGTTAAAGCTATCATTTCGTAAATTCCATGGTTGATACAATGACCTTGTCAGCAAATACAATTTATCATTGGAGTCAAAATGCTGACTGACATTTTTCATACTAGTTGTTAGTCTATTATTTATATACTGAATTCACGACGGGTTTTCCCATTGTTTCCCGATCATGATAGGAGCACACGGCGGGTGTGACCGGTCGTCAGGATGCTCACTCCTACATGACACCTGATGTCCTTTTTTGCTCTGCTCATAATATTTTCATGGAATGTGGAAATAGTCACGGGGGGGGGGGCAGTGGGGGTCTAGTCTGTCCCCCCCCCCCCCACTTTCACGCTTTGGGGTACCCAGTCTGTCTGTCCCCCCCCCCACCCACTTATTAATGTAGAACAAAATCACAGCTATGTTGAAATAATATTAAACCTTATTTTATGGCAATTTTTTTTTTATTTTCAACAACCGAGTAAGCATTTCTCTGGAAGTAATAGTTGTATAATATAGTAATGTAATAAAGCAATTAAATCTGTCAAGACCTCTTGTGTTCTCCAGTTTGTGATAGGGAGTGCGGATCATAAATTTAAGTTTAGACATTTTTGTTTCACTCAGCATCTGTTATCTAAAAAAATTAAATGAGAATCACTAGCTACCCCTTGTGTTGACATCTGAAAGTCATTATTTATTTGCTGTATCCCATTTCTTGTATAACACATAGTCACAAAGTAAGTTTTGTCAAACCTCCGGGTTTTTAATTATTTAATTTTGCTGATTCATTAGCACTCTTTTAATTTACATATATTGTACTATAGAATTCTAGTCAATCCAAATCTCATCAAAATGAGTAATTTCTACAAGATATAGCTGCAGTATTGGAGATTCTGATTTCGGTATACCTGTGATGAATGTCAATCAACTTTAAAAACACTATTTGAAATCCTCTCATTCAGCTTAGACAGGGGTTTGATATCACTTTGGCTAGCTGATTTAAGGGGGCGTGAGGGACGCACACCCTTAAAATTTTTTAAAGTAATTGATATGATTAATATTATTAATGCCATACTTTTAATCAATGCCACTATTTTTGTTTCTGATTTTACTATTCAATTACACGAAATTTAGGAGCTTCCAGGGGCTTCGCCCCCTAGGCCCCACCATTCAAAGTGTGATATGACTAATATTATTTCATGCCATACATATCCAGTGTATTCGCCAATGGATATTACATGTTGTACATCTTAATATTTCTTTATATAACACGCATGGCCTTAAGGCTTTGGAATTGGGGGTTGGAGAGTTTGCAATATATAGAGTACTACATAAAACATAGGTATATATGCTGGTGCCCCCACGTTAAAACCGTCTGATGACTTTTTTTTTCTTTTTTTTGCTTGTCAAAGAATTTCTGGAGTTGAGCCCCCCCCCCCCCACTTTTAAGTTTCTGACTACGCCTCTGATTTTGTATTGTTTTGTGGACCTTTATGTCGAATACTGTTCGTTAGTATTTCACTAATGAAAATATGACATCAGTTTAGGGTTGGTATTGAAATTAGAATAGTTGCAGATTTTAATTTATAGGACGATTCAACTATTATTAACCACATTGATCTTTTGCTAAGTTATGTATGCATGGCTTGCTAAATTCACAAAAATGTGCTAAACATACTTGTAGTGTTTTGTGGACACATTAATTAGAGTGCCTGTTTGTTTTTTTTTTTTTAATCATACCCATGGTATATATAAAATTCTATATTTTCATTTACTATTTTCATATAATGAGATACCGTGTACTCATTATATGATTAGCCAGTAAACGACACATGTTTGTAGAACACAACGATCGAATGCGAAAGAGATTTATGGTAGGATTCTTCTCTGGTTATATTATAAGAGAGACATTTTTGTGGAACGATTATTTTGGGGGTTTTGCGATTTTTTCCTACGGTACACATGATTAATGAATGAAATAAAAATAATTTGTGAAGAAGAATGCTCAACATGCCCCGGGTTGGGGGGGGGGGGGTTGTTTCCTGTCCACAAGTACTTTATGAATGGTACTTGGTTTCATATGTGTATTGATATTCTCAATTCTATAAAAAAAATAACAGGTATATGTTTTATGCTTTTAATTAAAGAATGCACATAAAACATAAACATCCTCGATCTCTGTATTTTTCACCCAATGCCTTGTGAGCAAGTACAATTTATCATTTTGTCATAATGTAAATTTGAATACTGTTTTCACATTACTTATTACTTTAAAAACACAAAAGATCAAGTGGGTAACATTTCACAGAATTAAACTAAGTATTGTGTAACATAATTTTTAGAGGAAGCATATAAAAATCTATTTTTTTCCATCCATTTTTACCTATAATGATATGCTACTGTTTCATATTAATTAGCAAAAATTCAAATTCAAGTGCCAATTTTTGTTTGTTCGGGTGTGTGTGTTTTTAGGTTTAATTTTTTTCTCTTTCAATTAGCCATTAGAATCACAACTTTCAATTTGTTTCCGAAGCCAATGCCTTGTGAGCAAGTACAATTTATCATTTTGTCAAATGCTGACTGACTTTTCCATACTGATTGTTAGGCCATTATATTTACACACTGATCGAGTTGCATGTCTATGGATTTTTCCCGTTATTTCTCAATCATGACAAAGGAGCACACGGCGGTAATGACCGGGCGGCAGTGGATACTCACTCCTCAATGGCACCTGATCCCACCTCTCAGTGATGTTTTAGAGGTCCATGTTTGCTCCGTGAACTTATAACATTGGTCTGAGTCAAGGGGGGGGGGATGAATATGGTTTTTCTGCACTAATATGCAATTATCCGTTATCCGTTATATGTTTTACTCAGAAAAATATTTGCATAGGCGTCGGAAACAAATTGCAAGTTGGGGGGGGGGCTAATTGAAAGGGGGGCTAAACCAATAAAAAAAGGTATACCTAATTTTCAATGTATATATTTGCAAAAAAAGTGGGGGTTATCCTCCCCCCCCCCCCCCCCCCCCCGGTTCCAACACCTATGATTTGCACGAAAACGTCATAAATACTTGATAAAATGCAATCCGGATTTGTGGAATACGAGATTCATTTTTTAATTTATATCGTTTTGGAGTTATCCGTTGCGTAATTTATGAACGAACTTCTGCTGTCTTTGAGTTTTCAAGATTGTGGGTAAAGAATGTGACGCTTTGAATAACTTCAGCTTTTACATGTATAGCGTATTGAAATCAAGAGAGGTATTTTATCTTGAAGTATAAGTTTTATTTTATGTGTATTTCCCTTTATTTTAACGTTACCTATTTTATTCTTATTATCTATTCCATTTAATCACCTAAAATTAATGCACCTTATTAAGAAGAATTATATATTTCCAAATGCTAATGGTTATGTTATAAGATATTATGTATAAGTAATTTTGAATAAACTTTCCTGTTATTAATATTATCACTTGTAGTAGATGTTTGATCCGCACCTTTTCTGCCCATCCCCCTTTGTTTACAAGGTTCACATTGACCAATCAAAAATGTCGATTCATCGAGAGTGATGCACTGTAAAGTGTTGTCGCGAAAACGGAGCTCGATGCCGAAGGAGTCTGGTTTAGTTGTTTGTTTATTTTACTCTAGAATACTTTGCATAGTTTGTATTCTGATACACGAAGAAATTCTGTGTATTGGATGCACCATTGATGTCTGATTGACGGAAAAAATTTTCATAATGCGAATCGAGAGAGTACAAAATTCGTAAGTAGCTTAGTCATTTGGTAGGCCTTTGCTGCTTAGTTTGCTTAAAAAAATTGGAGTAGTTTTGCAGAATAAAAAGGGACACTGGTCATATTTTTAAATAATGGAATGAAAACTAAGATTTCATTTATAATATATAAGGCTGTACTTGCAACCTGTCCTGAAGAATTGCTATAACAATAACAAACAGTTACAAAGTCCCTTTGAAACCACTTTTGGGTGCTTAGTCAGGTCCAGTCCAAAGACTGTATCTACCTACATAGCTATTAAAAGCTACGTAGGTATTTAAACCTACCAAAAGTAGCTATTATTTACCAATTTTTTGTTTTATCTACATTTTGTGGTCTAATGAATAAAGGGCGCAACATGGTGAATACCATAATTTTTGATACAGTCACACTAATGATGAATAAGACAAAATTTTGACCAAAAAATGTTTACTTCCTGAATCAGCAGTTTTACATTAGTTTCTATGCAAAATTGATATAGGAAGTAATCATTTTTTGGCCAAATTTTTGTCCTATCCATCATCAGTGTGACAGTATCAAGAAATTCAGTGCTCACCATGGTGCGCCATTCTGCGTTTGGCCGCAAAATGCAAGTAAAGCAGAAAGGTAAAAATAGCTACTATGGATAGGTTTAAATACCTACGTAGCTATTAATATATAGCTATGTTGGTAGAAATAGTCTTTGAACTGGACCTGTTAGTGTATTGCTGACTGTTTATTTTCATGTGCATATATGTATATACCTATAGGAATATCACATTGATATTTTTTACTACAATTAATCACGACAAGGCATGCAACTTTAAATGGAGTGCTACTGTGCCTAAATTGCATCCACATTCAGCAAAAAAACTGTAAATATATAATCGTGCAGTGTTTTAAAATTATTGTGTAAAAAGCTTTTGTCATTTTTTGTCATTTTTTTTTGGTCATTTACTAGAAAGGAAAATTACATTCAGAGGTCATCTTAAGGTCATCACATGTTGATAGAGGAAATGTAGGGTAAAAACAGACTTGAAATTGTTTAGAGATGAAATGAACTTTTGCATTATGAATGTACAATGGTGCATTTAAAATCAAACATTAATTTTTGTGAATGTTTTCTTAGAAATAAAGGAGAAACTATTCGATGAATGTTATTGTTCTGTCTCATAATTAAGCCTGCTCATAATTAGCTCCTCTTCATCACCAGTATAATATGACACACTCTTGAGACATCCAAAGGATGCAATGTGAAATTTTTTGATTAATATTTATTGTTGGGTAGATCAGGAAAAAAAATTACAGCTAGAAAGAGAACTTCAACCTGTCTAAAGAAAATTATATATCATAAGTTACGCTTGAAAAAAAATATATAAAAAACCTCAAGTGCACTGACTATATTTTTGTTATTGGCATGTGATAGTTAAGAAACATTTTTTTTAGGCCTACATATAGTTTCACTTTGTTATAGATCTAAAAAGAAGAAAACAAAGACCTACCAATACAATAGAACAGTACATTCAGTGTCCACTGATTTTCTCGAAGATGACTATTTCAAAAAGTAAGTACTAGCTTTTATAGTATAGGATGTTTTATTTCATAGACAAGTAGCTCTGGAGTTTTACTTTTGTTTAAAGTACTGTATGTGTACTTAAAAAAGCGGGCTTCATAATTTAGTGGCTTTGGCGCGGAAACTGATGCGCTAATTCATGAATACCACTAAGAAATCGTTCATAAATACACTACATGGCACAGACATCTGTAGCGCTAAATTCATGATTACATCAACAACTCCATACCCAGTTAATGGGATAAATTTTGAATACGCTAATTTATGTACATGTACAGTATATTATGGATATTTAAGCATCATTTTCTTTGCATGCTGTGGTAACCTTTGTCTAGTTTGCATTGAGTTGTGGAAATAACTTGTTCCGAATGTATTTTTTATTGGACATTGTAATCATCACAGCATAATGTCAAATTTGTATAAGCTCTAAATAGATTATGATGTATTGGCATCATTATTCATCTTTTTTTTGTTTCAACATATATTTAAAAGGTAATTGTGAAGCTAGTCCATGCTGATATGATGTGTCAGATGTATTATTATTAAACTCTAAAAGTTTTTTAATTAGTGTCTGAAGTCCATTATTTCTCAATATATTATTGAACCAATTCATGCCCATTGAGTTGTACTTCTTGTTTAAACTATTACACAAATATCGTTATTAAATGTATTTAATTGCAGAAATAGATGTACTGGAAATATTATGTTTTTTCAGATTTGTGGTTTGTTGTGAGTGTTCATTTGATTTGAGTTTGGAATTTTAATGCATGTAAACAGTTGCATGGCAGTTCCAAAAGAAATGTTTCTTCAAATCTTGTACATGTATGCATTAACAAACAACATTATATTAATGCTCACGGACTTGTTAACGACTTTGTGACACTTAAAATTCAGAGTGAAGGGATGTAACTTACAGAAGGATGTAGCATTTCAGAATGTTTATATATACATGTTACATAAGTCTAACAACTTGGACTTAATATCAATTGAAATTGCATCCAATTCAGGAACTTTCATTATTTAATCTAAAAATATGAAATTTTCATGGAAATGAATCTAAGGATTGAAAAAAAAACCCACTAAGTTCAACATGCATTTAGAAAACGTAATGAAAATCTTTTTACTGTTTTTCTTCAAGAGTGATATAAACATGTTTAAGGTTTGATATTTTTAAAGGGACCCTATCCCTACTCTGTTTTTCATTATTCCCATTAATGATAAGGTTAATGAAGTATCTTTTGATAATTTCATATTTTTATTCATTAATTGTTAATATTTGTTATAAATTGTGTCTTTCATATTTGTCTGTCCATTTGTCTTCTCACTGTCACATGTGTATAATACAAATGAAGTAGAAATTCCAACAAGTGTTCCTGAACTTGTTTAACACCCAGATACTGACAGCATATGAACTTTTTATGACCAAAACTATTAGTACTCCTCCTTTCATCTTAAGAATGTTTGCTTTTTTCCTTGATCTTATAGAAAATTAAAAAAAAATGCATCATGGATTCCTTCTGGAATGATATTTGTGTACATCTGTTTACTAGTATATAAATATGAGTCCTTTAGAGCTTATGACTCTGCTGTCATTAGAACCTGGAGTGATATGCTTACATGTAGATAACATGGATACAGTTTCCTCTCATTTTGTTTATGCTAATTGTTTCTGAGGAGAAATATTTGAGAGTTTGTGATAAGGATATGTTAATCTAGTAAAAGCTGTTAGCCCTGACACAGAGACAAGGATCAATAATGATTAGCCTGCAGTAACAATAACATCACATCACTGAGCTAGCCACTATAAGCTGTACTGGGGGGTAACAAAGCATAAATTGACTGGGGCATCAGTGCAACACAGATGGGCATCAATAAAATCAACATAAAAAATACTCTTGGTCAATCTTGTGCAAGTGTCTTTTTAATGCACTCAGGGGAGGAAAGTGAATGACAGGAAAAAAAGTCTATATTTAAGTGCTTTTATTATTTTCATCTGATTCTTCACAATGCCCAGGGAGGGGATGTTTCAGGTTCAATTCTTATTCCAAGGGCTGTATCAAATATTAGATGCTTGGCTGCTTAAAATGTTGTTTATGTAGAAAATATTAGAATCCTTTTGCCGAGAGAGGCATGCTGGATGCTGAATTTGTTTATCCCAGTCAATCTGGCTGTGAGAAAAGATGGGGCTGGTTTACTTGTTAATAAAAATAACAGGCAATTATCTAGAAGAAAAATAAACAAGGCCTTCAATGCTGCAAGCCACAAAGTAAGTTGGCAAGATTTAGGTAAATGGTGAGTTGGTCTGATTTTACACAAAATGCTACATACAATTGTATAGAAAAGCTGTTATGAAAAAACATGAATCTATAATCCATATTATGATTTAAATGAACTTTTAAATTGACATAGACTAGTGTTATCTGACTTTCAGTAATGAATTGAAATTTTACAAAATTGAAATGCTTAGTGATTTGGATTGTAATCTTTTGAATAGTTTTAGCTTTTGGCTTGACTGGGTGACCCTAGGCGTAATGTTATATAAGCCAGCTAATAATGGCCAGGAGAAATGTCATGTATAGTGTGGACATTACGTACCCTGAATAGGCACTAAATAACGGTTCTTCATTTCTCTTGTTTACACTATTGGATGTGCATTTTTTTTACAACTCTTTATTTAAATTCTTCAGGATGAGTAAAACAGATTACACCTATTCACGAAGGTAAGTTCTTATTGCTGGTATTTTCTGTAGGATTTTATCAAATATTAATGTATTATTGTAACAGCTAGTGTACATATAGATACATGAACCTCCAACAAATTGTTTCAGAAGAGATTTGGGGTTTTCAGTTTTATTATGAATTAAAAAACTCAAAATACAGGGATTTAATACTGCTTAATCACATGTACTAAATAGTTATATATTGCTCATGTGTGTTGTGCTGTGATTATGAATTATATATCTGTGGAATTGTTCTGTTTCTTTACAGCTTGAAAGAAAGTGCAAAGTGATTGAAATAATGTTTTGATAAAGGAAATAAATCATTTAGTGTGGGAGTTAAAGGGTTTAGAGTTTTTTAAATGCTGATAGATGTTTTAAATTTTGTGTATGATAATTACATGTTGTATCATAATGATGTATGGGAAGGATATTTTGCTTGACTGGAGATAGGAGTTAATGTAAACTAGAGGTGTTCTAGTCAGACAAGTAATAACTCTATACATTCACTTCATGGCCCACTGGTTGCATGAATTATTTCAAGTTGGATGTTGTTTAATGTGCTTCACCGGTTTAAAGTGCTTACAATATTAAGATGTCTGAAGTAAGATTTCTCTACTGCTGATTGGTATATTATTCCCTTTTTACTTCAGTCCAAGTTATAGAAGAAAAGCAGAAAGTTCTTATTACCAAATTCCCAACATGTCTCGAGCACATGTGAAGGGGTCAGTAAGACCTTATGTGACGACCGGTGATTTGTATGTCAGTTCTGATGAGGAGGACAGCCATTATATAACAGAGAAGAGACTGTCCACAAGAACTGGTAGGTATATAATGGATTGTATTTCACAGCAAGACAGTAATATAAGGCAATGTTTATACAGGGTTACTCAGACATAATGTGTTCATCCACTGTAAGTGTTGTATAATGTAGCATTTAGTATTTCCTGTTTATATGTGTTGATCTTTACTATTTAAAGAAATTTTAATGAGTTATTTTTAGTGCGCAGTATCTTACCTGAAAAATTCAAATGGTAATAAGGGAACAATGTTGAATAAAAAAGTTATTTTTCCTAAATTTTGTAAATATCAAGGTCAGATATTATCTTTTTAAGACCATGTTTTTGTAAGCGCTGCAAGCATGTAAAAATTGTTAATCCCCATAAAATTTACCTGAGCTGTTATTAAAACACAGACTTTCCCTATGTAGTTCTGGGCAACTAAAAAATCTTAGATTTTCTTTTAGATTAGAATGCAAATTAAAAGTTACATTAAAGTGATGGCATAAAAAACTAAAAAAAAATGTAATTTAAAATTGCACTTGTTTGAAGCTATGCATTTGGTATAAACTGTTTTTCCCCAGAGTATGTTTCTATTAATTCATAGAGAAGTTTGTGTGTTATTCTGTTATAATATGTCATTTAATGAGTCAAAGACTTCCACAAACAATAGACTTTTAGACTTATTCTCCTGGCTTGAAAGATAGCTACCCTCTTAATTATAGTTTTTATATACTTTTTAAAGTCTTTGAAATTTAGACACCAAGGCATTTAAATAACTGAATAGATTTTGAAATATATGTCATTTTTTGTTTGTTACAGTTTATGAGGATGGGATTCTACTTAGGTCAGGCAACAGTTTAAAGAATGCCAGGACTGTGATAGAGAAGCAGAACAAAAAGAACAGGAGGTCACTGCAGGGTGTGAACGTGAACAAGAACGCCAGGGAGTCCAGGAGGTCACTACAGTCGCTGAGTACACTGGACAATGGCCGCGAGTCCCGGAGCATCACACGGACGTCGAGATCGCGGAGATCCCAGGCCTCCAATCTCATCACCAGCACCAATCAGATGTCAGAGACAAGGTCATCCACAAGGTCGTCCTCAGCCTCCATGTCATCTCTGATGTCATCAAAGTCATCCTTCATCGACTCGGTCAGGAAAACTCTGATTGGAGAGTTTAACGATCTGGAAATGGAGAAAGGCATGAAGGAAATCCAAAACTCTAACAGAAAAATCAAGTTATATGGTAATGTTTTATATGGCCATTTGAAATTAATTTCCTGCAAGTCTTTCTACTACTACACATTGTATTCAGACTTATTACCGGGTAACTGATTTTTATTGAATAAAAGAGGTATCTTGCGTAAATAAAATGTTGCCAAGCTTCACAGTAGCCTATTATAGAGTAACATTTCTTTCATTCCAGGTTTGGATCAAGTAGACTCAGATGAAATGTCAGGTATGGAAATTAGTGCATTCTATTCACATTTAGACTAATGCAACACTTCATATACATACATATAAAACACAGTAGTATAAGGTTTTAACTTTAAATGATATCTTTACATGCAGTTTTGTCTTGTTTAGTTTTCTGAAATACAATCTTCAATGAAAATCATGTTATATTCAGTGTGATCTTTTAATGTTGCAGGAATTGAATCTGAAGTAGAGTTTACTGGTATGTACTATACTTTTTTTTTGGGGGGGGGGGGTGTTTATATGTGTACAGATTGGTAAATTTTTCACCAGAATTGAATTTTCCCTTTATTCGGTATGTTTGTTGAATTCTTTGATGATGACATACATGCTATGTATTTCACAGGGACCAACATGTCAGGTTACCACTCAAACTCTTCACACAGTAGGAGCCACACTAGGAACTCCCAGTCAGACACCACCACCACCAGCAGCACCGCCACATCAGATTCCTCGTCATCAGTGGTCACCACCACCACCACCACCACCGTCGTCACCACAATCATTGGTAACGTAAAACCTGGTATTGTAATGGGAAAAAGATATTGTAGGCATTAATGACTGACATTTTGGCATGATGTTTATTTACTAAAGCTTAACAGAATATCAGCAGAAAGTAAACCTATTAAATACAAAAACCCAACCTTATATGGGAAATATCATTTTGAAATCATTGATGAAATAAAGGTGGTAATTCATATTTAGATATTAAATCTGAACCTGATTTGTAAAAGAAAGAGAGTAAAATTTGTTTGCCACATTAGTCTTCTCAAAACTACCATTCTCCAGCTGCTATATAGTGGTAAGCATCTGCTTTGTTCAGGGTTCAGTGTATTTCACAGACTACCTGAGCACACATCTCCATTGTCATTTTGATATATTAAGGTGCAAAAAAAGACCAGTTTGCTTTTGTCAAAAACAATATTGTTTGCATTATCATTGCAGAAACCATTACAACAGCAGCCAGGCCTGTTACTGAACCAGTCTGGAATACTGTAGGAGAACCAATCTGGAATCATGTGGGACGACCTGTGTGGAATCATGTGGGGAGGCCGGTTTGGAGATACGTGTGTCGACCACTCTTATCACTGACCAGTAGGGTGGTGTCCACGGTACTCCTCCTGTTGTATCACCTTATCTGGACCTCCACACTACGACATCTTGTTAATGGCTGTGCTTTTGTGACACGGAAAACTCTCTCAGCTGCTCAATCCGTCTTTGTACAAATGTTTGTCTGGGAAGTAGGAGTTTTCTCAAGGTAAAACTGTATTTTCTTTAATTGTTTATGTAACGAAAAGGAGGAGTATACCACATATATACATTTATTTAGAATAATTTTGACTGCTGGATTGATCATATACAATTATAGAATTATATAATATAAAATTGTTATTTAAATAATTAAGTGAATGGTTTTGTAATTCTGCCTGGGGAGGTATTTATTGTAACAGAGTTTTTTATATACATTACAGGATGTCTTATCTATCCCGGATGTGTTGTATTGTCTTGCCACTGTTACTGATTTTACCATTGTTATTGTTTGCAAGTAAGAATTATATCACGAGTATATACATGCACAAGTGACGCTTTAATAGAAGCTCAAAAATTGTTATCACAAAAAGTTCTTATTCTCTTATTTTTATTGTATTGCTATCTTGGTATTTATATAGGTTTTTATTCCTTGAAACAAACAGTTGTCATTTCTTTCCAGTATATCCTTACATTACACCGGCAGCTTTCATAGATATCAGGGATAATGATTCTATACTGGATTTATCAAAGGTAGCTTTTCATTATTTTCCTTGAGGCTTTGTAAATTTTCTATAAGTAGAGTATTACTGAAAAATACTTGCAAAGAAATCTAAATGGCACTGACTACTTTCTGCCAAGTAATCATGATAATAGAAATTTTAATTTTATTAGAGAAAAGGGGAAAAGCCCTTTGTGATTGCATTGTATTTTCATAACATGAATGACATAAAAAAAAATTTTAAAATATTTCCCTGAGAATCACTATTAATGATAAATATGTCATCACATTTAGACTTCTATAAAGACTACAAATAGGTGTCTAATTAAAGAAGAAAAGATTTACTGTAAAAGTTTCTATGTTAAGCTTTCATGTAGAAGGAGACAATGATTCATTCACATATTAAGAGAGAAAAAAACCCAACATTTTTTAGATGAACGGAATAAGTCCTCATGAATTAAGAGAGCACGTGAGAAGAATAGTCATACAGATCAGCGAGGGGCGAGATGAATCTCTCTCTGTGGGGGAAGTAGAGAAAATAGTAGCCACGATGGTGGAACAGAGATTGAATGAAGAAAAATTAGCCAATCAGAATCGCTGGCTGGAGGAAGAGGCGGCTAAACAGGTACATACGACAGAAAGAATGCGGTAGATGATAGATATAGTCCTTGTTTCAGTATAGTGTATATTTCATAACTTTTAGAAATGTAATCAATTCATCATGCACTAGTTTTGTAAACTTCCACTAGTTTGTTAATGCACCAAACAGCTTTTTTTCTGTAAAAGTAATCTGCATGTTGTAATAAGTTTAACATTTTACACAGCTTAGAGATGCATTAATTAGCATAGAAGCTCAAAAAACTAACAAAATCAGAGAGGAGGAGGACACACCAACATGTAAACCAAATATAGAGACAGAGGATGCATCATCTAAACCAAGCTTGGATACAGAAAGAGAGGCTACACCAAATATTCACAAAGATAAAAAATATAGTCCAAGCATTGACACACAGGAAACATACAAACCAAGCAATGACACAGAAAAAGCATGTAAAGCAAGCAATGACACAGAAAAAGCATGTAAAGCAAGCAACAACACAGAAAAAGCATGTAAAGCAAGCATTTCAAAGGAAGAAAAATGGGAACAAGGCTTATACTTAGAGGAAAAACCTAAGCCAGCCATTGACCAACACAAAGAATGTAAATCAAATGTTGATGCAGAGGAAAACTATTATCAAAGCATTGATGCAGATACACAAAAATTTAAACCAGATGAAGAAACAATAGAAACACCAAAACCAAGTGTGGACATGGGCATAAAATGTAAAGAAACAGGGGAAGCAGATAAAAAACCTAAACCAACTATAGACAATGAAGAAAAGTTTGAAGGAAGTGGAGAAATGGGAGAACACCTCAAAGGAATTGTGGACACTGAAGAAAAAGGTGAAAAAAGTATGGAAGAGGAAGAAGAACCCAATGCAAGTCTGGACACAGCAGAAAAATGTCAAGAAAATAGAGAAGATGAAGAAAAATTCCAACAAAATTTAGATAGTGTTGGAAAATGTGAAAAAGATGAAATGGTGGAAGAAAATCTCAATCCAAGTGTGGACATTGAAGAAAATTTAAAAGAAAGTGAAGAAGTAAAAGAAAACCCCAAAGAGAATGTGGACTTTGAAGGAAAATGTGAAAAAAGTATAAAAGAGGAGGAAAAGCCAAAAATAAGCATGGAAATCGGAGAACAATGTAGTGAAAAGGATGAAGAAAACCTTAAACCAGAACAAAAGCCAAGAAGTGTGGACACAGAAGGAAAATGTGAAAAAAGTACAGAAGAAGAAGAGGAAAAGCCAAAAATAAATGAGGACACTGAAGAACAATGTAGAGAAAAAGATGAAGATAACTTTAAACCAGAACAAAAGCCAAGAAGTGTGGACACTGAAGGAAAATGTGAAAAAAGTACAGAAGAAGAAGAAAAGCCAAAAATAAGTGAGGACACTGAAGAACAATGTAGAGGAAAAGATGAAGATAACCTTAAACCAGAACAGAAGCCAAGAACAAGTGTGGACACTGAAGGAAAATGTGGAAAAAGTACAGAAGAGGAAAAAAAGCCCAAAATTAAAGGAAAACTTGAAAAAAGTAGAGAAGAGGAAGAAGAAAACCTTAAACCAGTTGGAGACTCTCCTGGAAAATGTGAAGAAAGTGAAGAACCAAAGACCAAAACAAATGTGGTCACTGAAGGAAAATGTGAAGAAAGAAAGCCAAAATCAAATGTGGACACTGAAGGAAAATGTGAAGAAAGAAAGCCAAAATCAAATGTGGACACTGAAGGAAAATGTGAAGAAAGTGAAGAACCAAAGACCAAAACAAATGTGGACACTGAAGGAAAATGTGAAGAAACAAAGCCAAAATCAAATGTGGACACTGAAGGAACATGTGAACAACCAAAGACAAAAACAAATGTGAACACTGAAGGAACATGTGAAGAAACAAAGCCAAAATCAAATGTGGACACTGAGGGAAAATGTGAAGAAACAAAGCCAAAAACAAATGTGGACACTGAAGGAAATTGTGAAGAAACAAGGCCAAAAACAAATGTGGACACTGAAGGAAAATGTGAAGAAACAAAGCCAAAAACAAATGTGGACACTGAGGGAAAATGTGAAGAAACAAAGCCAAAAACAAATGTGGACACTGAAGGAAAATGTGAAGAAACAAAGCCAAAAACAAACGTGGACACTGAGGGAAAATGTGAAGAAACAAAGACAAAATCAAATGTGGACACTGAAGGAAAATGTGAAGAGACAAAGCCAAAAACAAATGTGGACACCGAAGGAAAATGTGAAGAAACAAAGCCAAAAACAAATGTGGACACTGAAGGAAACATGTGAAGAAAATGTAGAGGCAGATGAAACTCTTAAAGCAGATTTTGATTCAGAAGAAATTTCTTCAGACACTGTAGATGAAAAACTCACAGAAAGTGCAGACTCTGAAAAAACACATACTGCTGAATCCTTCTCAGAACAAGAATTTGATATATGTGAGGAATTTCCTGATGAAGATCAGTCAGATGCTGCTGCTTTGTTCTGTGAAGATCCAGCTGAAGATGATGTAGGAATATGTAAAGCAGATCAGGAGCTGGAAAACCTCAGACACGAACTTCGTAAAAAAGAGGGAATGTCTTCTAAATGTAAGATGGGAGGTTCTAGCGCAGTCAGTGCTGCATGTTATTCACCTAACCCATTTGTTGGCAGAAATGTCTACAAAGAAATTCTTTCAAGCCCTGGTAGGAAGTGCAAATATGTTCCACTGCCAGGAAAGGAAAAAGCAATGAATAATACTTCTCGAAATAAAAAATGTAAAGCAAGACCTTTCTGGATAGAGAAAAACAGAGCTCAAGGATTTGTATGTAATCAAGCCTGCATGAAGTTTGACTTCCTAAATTTGTTTTTGAATTTCAGTTTTGATTTTTAATTAAGTTAATGTTTCTTTTTTCAGATTTTTTTGCTGTTGCAGACATATATGTGTTTCTGTTTAGTTACTGTATATTTTTGCGTTTAATTTTGTTGGGCGACATTAAAAGACATATATGTGGGCGTTTCAAGTGAAATAACATGGGGCGAAAATAACCCTGTATACAGTATTACATTCATTTTTCCAGTCTTGTTCTTAGCATGTGAATTTATATTTAAGCTGCTGTTTGCTGAATGTTTTGTTTCAAATAATTTTTATGAATTAAAGTTAATATCTGATAATAGACTGTTTTAATGTAAAACATGAATATTATAATTAAAAGAAATTTATTATATGTTCTAATTGATGTTTAATGAATTACAATATGTATATAACTTTATAATAATTTTCTAATGGCTTTAAATGACAGGTAGAGAAGACCAACATAACAGAGGAGATACTGAGGGTGCTGCAGGACCTGAATGTGCGGGGGGATAGCCTCACTGAGAGGGACATCAGGACGATTGTCGGGGAGGTGGTGAAGCATGAGGTCACAGGGATACAGGACCGCATTACAGAGCAGGCACAGTCACAGGTCAGTCAGTCAGGCTTAATAGCAATTATAACATCACATACACACAGGTAGCCGTCATTGAGGGGAAAAAGTTGATAGTTACCTTCAAAATTACTGTATACAGGGAAATTTTCGTCCCCGTTTTATTTGCCTTAAATGAAATGGGGCAAAATTATCTTAAAAAGAATTGAAATTGGGTGAATTTAAAATGGGGCAAAATATTTTCTGTGTGAATGGGTGAAAATAACACGGGGCGAAAATAACCCTGTATACAGCATCAATATTATTTGGAAAAACTCGTCAAGATCTCGCTTTTGAAAAGTGAAAATTATGTCTCAGTAATACAATGTAAATGCTGTGCTACCAACACACAAATGATGTTGGGGACATGACTGCAACAGAAATTTATTCCTCATGCTACCCAAATGGGCAGCAAAAATTGACTAAAATAAAATTAACAAGAAATTACAAAATGTAAATGATAATTTTGAATTTAAAAGGTGTCAGAGAAGAAGGAGAATGGTGAAGTGATGCTGACTCTTCAAAATGATCTTAAAACGAGTATCACAGTAAGTCAAGTTCGGATTGATGTTGGCATTTTAATTGCTGCATTTTGTTTTGTGCAAATAAACATTATCAATGGGAAAACTTTACCGGTAAATAAAATCATTTTTTATGAAAATTTGAGTAGCAAAACTTTTAAAGAAAAAAAAAAGCATTAATAGTTAGTTGTTAAGTATTTTTGTATTAAACTAGTCTTTCATTTCAGAATCTTGAGCAAAAATTGGCTGATGAACTGGAGAGAATAAAAAGGTTTGAATTTTGCTTAATTATAAAAAGTCAGATTTCTCTATGGTACATGTATGTTGAATGACCAGTGTTAGCCTATTTTAAACATTTTAGTCACACTGTGGAAGGTAGTGATACGACAGTGGAAGCCTCGGCTAGCCTTCTACAGATACAAGACGATCTGTCCTCAGTGCGAGCTCGATTAGATAGCCTAGAGCTGGAGAAAGCGTGGTTAGCAGGACAGCTCAAGAACTGCTGCAGGAACGAGAGTTTCTACACAGCCCTGGTGCAGGACAAGGTCAACTTAATTCTGGGTCAGGTAGGAGTTTTATTGACTTTATCCTGAAAATTACAAAGGGAACATTTTAATACCAATAAGATGCATTACATTGTGACAACTGTTCAGTATGTGGTATGGCTGTTGAAGGGTTTAATTCTTCTAGAGATAGAAGTTTACTTTTCTGTAAAATTCATTTTCTTTCATGTAGATTTTCTCTGCTGTAATGTTTTGAGTCCTTAAATTTGTTCTTTTTAAACATTTTTTCCTGTATTTACAGAGATGAATTTCAGTGTTTGCATTTTAAACATACTAATCGACTCACATTAAATCTGTTTGTTTGTTACTCAGATAATGTCAGGGAATGATACAGGCGGTGCTGACCAGTACCTGTTTGGAGCTTGGTTAAACTCCACCTTTATCAAGAAAAGTGACCTGGAGAAATACATGGCAGACTTTGGTGAGGAGCTCAGCAATAAAATTCTACAGGAAATGTCTAGAACTGAGGCCACGGAGGTCTACGTATCAGATTCCGGGGGACAGGGTTTGGTGACAGAGAAGGTAAGGGCACTGATTGATTGGTCAGGAATATTAGATCACTAATCTACTAATTCACACCTATTGCTCTCTGGTATTTCTTTTCATTGCTTGTCATACTGAAACATGTTAACTTTTGAATTTTTTCAATTACTTTTCTGAAACTGTTGCATTAGTTTATACATGTATTTTATTTAAAAATATATAAAATTCGTTATTGATTTACTTATTGCAAATATTAGATTATGGGGCCAAAAATTTCATATCGGATTTTTTCCCACAATAAGGGATATTTTTAAAAGCAGTTTTTACAATGATTTTGTATGAAAAGTCATTATAAAAAAAAGAAAAACAAAATTTTACTTTCTTAAAATTTTTATGTACTCCTATCACTTTTTACAACATTTTTTATACTTTCTGTAATTGTGATTTGAAAGTTGAACAAATAAATGAATAATTTTGACTTTATAATATGTACCTAAAGACCTTAGTTATAAATGTATCACGCAACAAAAAATCGCGATATACCGGTATACCAATAAAATTGCACATCCCTATAAAAGAATACTCCTATACTCGCAGTAGATGTTCTTGTTAGCTTAGTTATAAATTAAAGGAAGTTAAGTACAGAAGTAAAATTTTGACATTGATTTCCACAAAGTCCCTTGCTTCTTTGCCCACCACTCTCACTACTGCCATAAAATTCCAATGACATAACTCACTCTTAAGGTTCAACATCAAGATAAAACCATGAAAACAATCACCAGTACATATGTTTTTCCTAAATTGACTGAGTATGAATAATTCATTGAGGGTTTTACAATGAATTTTAGTTTCTTTTTCTTTTACCTGCAAAACTATGTGTCACTGTTATATCGCTTACCTCATTATAATGCCAGGTTTGCCTAGGTACAATTGTGACAGGATACAAAAAGTACACTGAATTTTTAAGTCACACTGCATTTTGGAAAAAAAACAAATAATACGCAGTTAATTTTTAGCGATATTCAATTTTAGGGATGTCAGCACCCTGGCTAATAATGCCAAATTAAATCCTTGCTAAAAATTCTACTTATACAGTATGTAATTTCTGTTTCTAAATACTTTTATTTGACAGAAGTTCGATGTTAGAATAGTTTTGATGATTTGTTTTATACAGGTTGTGAGACAGATCGTGACTGAAGCTTTGGAAAAGTTCAGTGCAGACAAAATAGCCCTGCCAGATTTTGCTTTGGAGTCTGCAGGTCTGTACTAATCTACTGAATAAATATCACCATAGTTTGTCCTTTGATATGGTTATAGAAATTGTGTATGCTAGTTCTTTAACATTGGTTTTAGAACAGAAGTTTGATCCATTTTCAAATGTATAACATGAACGATATGAATATTGACAATCATTAACAACCTCATGTATCTTACAGGTGGTAGTATTATCAGTACAAAGTGTTCCGAGACATTCCACAAAAACACCGCTCGTCTGAGTATACTGGGGATTCCCCTCTGGTACGTCTCCAACTCGCCTCGCAGCGTCATACAGGTAAGTCGTTAGTTAGGAGTGCAGGCATCTTCATCTGTAGTCAGAGCAGTTAAAAGACTGTGGAGTTCTAATTTATAGGGACGATGTTCATACCTTCTTGGGTAACCATATGCTGGTTCATAGGGATGTCATTTTGTGGGTAATTCATGTGTTCCTAGGATTCAATAAACTGATATATGTTGATGCAGATGTTATCATTCTGGGGATTTAAATTTGTGGAGAGGGTTAAGCATATATATTTCAGTTCAGCATTTAATTAACTATTGCTGACTAGATTATTGTTTGCCAATTGTGAGAAACACAGATTCTTGTCATATTTAATAGATTACAGGATTATATTTTGAGTATCTCGTATTAGTATGTCTGTATATTATTGTGTAGAATATATAAATACATGTACACATTTAATTTGTATAAAATATGTTCTACACCCTGCCATGTTTTTGAATTGTATAGAACATGATCCTATTAATGTCCTGGCATCTGTTTACAGCCGGAGACACAGCCTGGGTCCTGCTGGGCCTTTCAGGGTGATAAGGGTCACCTTGTGATTGAGTTATCAGACAACATCACCCCCACAGCATTCACCCTGGAGCACATCCCCAAGTCCCTGGCCCCCGAGGGAAAAATTGATAGCGCCCCCAAAGACTTTACAGTCATTGTAAGTAAACAGGATATATTTTCTGACTGTAGCCTGAAAACTCTTAGAAGAGTTTTTGTAGAAATATTTACGGATGTTAATTATGCTGATGGGAACAAAAATATCATGTTATATTATTTCTGCAATACCAGGTTAATGTATTATATATAATGATTAAATTGAATAAATATTGATTAAATTGGGTTATATTTATGCAAAAGCTTTTCTTATTTTGTTTTTAGTGTGAATTACCCCCAAACATAAATGTCCATGTTTACTGTATCAAATTACATGTACTTTTCAATTTGCTTAAATGCTTTAAATAAAGTAAAATATAATGCTGTTTTCACTTTAGGGCCTGAACAATGAAAATGACAAAGTAGGAGAGCGTTTAGGAAACTTCACCTATACAGATAGGGGACCCCCTCTACAGACGTTCAAAGTACAGGTAATTAATACACTGTATATGGAAGTAGGTCACTAGAGAGGAAGTAGGTCACTAGTGATATCACAGTATCTAGTACAAGTAGTATCAGGAAGTAGTTCACTAGGGACTAAATATTATTGATAATATTGAGAATAGTTCAGTCTTGATATAGCAGTTCACTTGTGATATCAGAGTATCTTTTAATTGCAGCAATACATATAGAACTAGTTCATTTGTGTTAAAATTACAAGGTAACTTTAAAATGGAAACATTTCTGTGGGCTGCCAGAGAGTTTCTAATCATTCCTCTGAATTTTTATCATTTCAGAAGCCTAATGTTGGTGTTTACAAGTTTGTTCAACTGAGTATTTTAAGTAACCATGGAAATCCATTGTATACATGCCTATACAGATTCAGGGTGCATGGTATACCACACAAACCAAAGAAAAGGGAGAAAAATTAACCTCATATAGAGCTATACACAAACTTCAAGAAAATCTGTGAATGGTGTTTTTTTCACAGAAAAAGATTTACCAATGCAAAAATAGTAGAATCTGTGATAATCATAATACATGTATTGGTGTCTTTAGAAATTTTTAGTGAAACCTTGATTTCCTTTAGATCATGGGAGAAAAACAATCAAAATAATGGACCTACACCTTTGTGGTACATTTAGAGATTGTACATTTTGCATAATTGACAATTTTTATTCATGGTACTGAAGGCGTTATTATAAAGTGCTGTTACTGCTCAGTGAAAATTATTGTAAACCACCATAACTGTGTTCACTTGGTGTCTGTAATGACATTTTTTATATAATAAGTAATTTAATTGATGTACATGTATATATTTTTTTCTTTTATTTTAATCCATGTTGTATTATCTTTATTATATTTCCTAGTGGAATATAGCAATATGTTGTTGTTTTTTTAATGGTAGATTTTTTAAACTCTGGATCTTAGTAGCTATTGATGATAGATTTTAGAGGTAAAGGTTTACAGAAACAATTTTAAATTATAAATTGTTATGTTCATTATTTTGTTGTTGCTGAATTTTTGGATATGATTGACTCATATTTGATTATTTTACTTTTTAAACAGATAGGGTATATAGTGCCAGTAGTGTTTTTTAGCTCACCTGAGCCGAAGGCTCAAGTGAGCTTTTCTGATCACATTTTGTCCGGCGTCCGTCTGTCCGTCTAGCTGTCTGTCTGTCCGTCTGTCTGTCTGTCTGTAAACTTTTCACATTTTCGACTTCTTCTCAAGAACCGCTGGGCCAATTTCAACCAAACTTGCCACAAAGTATCCTTGGGTGAAGGGGATTCAAGTTTGTTCAAATGAAAGGCCACGCCCCTTATTCAAGGGGAGATTATTGGGAATTAATGAAAATTTAGTGGTATATTTTTAAAATCTTCTCCTCAAGAACCACTGTGCCAGGAAAGATGAAACTTAAGGGGAAACATCCTCAGGTAGTGTAGATTCAAGTTTGTTCAAATCATGACCCCCGGGGGTAGGGCGGGGCCAAAATGGCTGACCAATGTTTTACATAGAAAGATATAAGAAAATTCTTTAAAAATCTTCTTCTCAAGAATGACAAAGCCAATATTCATCATATTTATATGGAAGCATGTTCAGGTAGTGTAGATTCAAGTTTGTTCAAATCATGACCCCCGGGGGTAGAGCGGGGCCAAAATGGCCGACCAAAGTTTTACATAGAAATATATAGGAAAATTCTTTAAAAATCTTCTTCTCAAGAATGACAAAGCTAATTCATCATATTTATATGGAAGCATGCTCAGGTAGTGTAGATTCAAGTTTGTTCAAATCATTAGAGCTGGGGCCAAAATGGCCGACCAATGTTTTACATAGAAATATATAGGAAAATTCTTTAAAAATCTTCTTCTCAAGAATGACAAAGCCATAATTCATCATATATATATGGAAGCATGCTCAGGTAGTGTAGATTCAAGTTTGTTCAAATAATGACCCCCGGGGGTAGGGCGGGGCCAAAATGGCCGACCAAGGTTTTACATATAGATATACATGTATATAGGAAAATTCTTTAAAAATCTTCTTCTCAAGAATGACAAAGCCATTATTCATCATATTTATATGGAAACATGTTCAGGTAGTGTAGATTCAATTTTGTTCAAATCATGACCCCCGGGGGTAGGGCGGGACCAAAATGGCCGACCAAAGTTTTACATAGAAATATATAGGAAAATTCTTTAAAAATCTTCTTCTCAATCATTTTCTAAAAAATAGCAAATCCATGATTGGTCATGGGACTACTTTTGGATTTAAACTTTACAATAAAAAGCCATTTTATACTAGTCCTACCCTTGGTGCTCAGGTGAGCGATGTGGCCCATGGGCCTCTTGTTTAAGGTGACTAGATGATGAAATGTTAACTAGTTTATGTCTCAGGGTTGCTTAAGAATCTCCTCAGTGATAAAATGTGTTCATTTCAGTCAGTTTTAGAGTCATCCATTGAATGCATTGTGTTCACTATCAAAAGAGTTTGAAGCAAGAGACAGTCAACCATTTTTTAAAAAAAAAAGATGTAAAAGGATAATGAATATTGCATAATATGCATTTTAATATGCTTTTGTTAGATTGTTATCACAATATTTGTTAGAGCTGTGCATTTATAGATAATTCAGGTAATGAAACTTCAAGAAAATATGAGAATTTTTTATTAGAATATAAAATTTAATGAATGATAAATTGTACAGAAGCTAAACAAATATTTTAAAAAGGACGTAGGAATGAAACTCTTTTCCTCATAGAAACCTCCTGAAAAATAAAACAAATACTTCACAGTGATATTTGAAGAACTGAATTGTTCAATAAACCATAAACAAATACTGTTATTTGTACAGTTGTCTTTTAAATGATTGGGGGGAAATTGGAGAAAAAGTTGATAATTGGACAGCTCAAACTTTTACAACATTTTTTTTTTTAGTTAGTTTTTGATTTTGGAAACAGGCCTTACTGCAGGATAAATGGGACCAGCCATACAGATAAATGGTGGCGTGAAAATTGAAGGATCTGAAATTCCAGGGACAATGCCGCTGTAACCAGTAGTCATATGGATATACTCTGTAAAAAAAGGCAAAGAGTAATGTCAGTTTAAATTATTCTGAAGAAGTATAGGGACATGGTAAAGTCCAAAGGGAAATACTATAATTATAGACAGGCAAAGAATGAACAAAATTTTGCAAGGTCACTCTGTTTTGTGAGATATTTATTTTCTTTTAATAATCAAAACACAGTTTTCATGCTTTTTGTTTCGTTAATTATCATTGAGAATACAAATACCGAGTACATGACTGATGAGACGAAAATTAAGCAAAAATAAAGTTCTAGCACAATAAGTGATTTATATTGTACAACTTTTATAAAGATTTCTAGCTGATGGAAAGATTATAAGAAAAAAAGTAAACAAAATTGAAAAGCAAAAAAATAGTGTCAAAATTCAATAAAATTTCTTTGTTTACCTGCCCACTTTTTGGAACAAGTGAGTTTGCCATTGCTTAAAAATTTGTGCATGCATAAGAATGTATTTAGGTATTAGTAATTTAATAGTATAGATAAGCACTTTTAAATTTTATTTGCTAAACTTGACATTTATTCTAGAAGTTTGCGTTTTGGATGTTCTGAAACTTACGTCCTGGGGAGTGTCCCACAATGCTCTCTGAGACAGGAATACACCCGGCTTCCGTCACAGAGGAAGTGACAGTCAGGTTTCCTACCACCATGACGTAACTCTTCAGGGACAGAGTCTTACCACCGGCACCAATAGTGGTCTGGGTCTCCTGAGCGTTATCTGTCTCAGTGATGAAAGTAGAAGCTTGAGCACAACATATTGGGGTACCTTGTTTTCTGGGTCTTATGATATATGACATTCTTGTTTGTCAATACCATACTATAAAGTTTTGCACTTTTGAAGTACATACAGGAAAACTCGGTTATAACGAAGTCACCGGGACCAATGAAATTACTTCGCTATATACGGTATTCGTTGTATCCGTTTGAAAAAGAAGAGATGTAGCTGGGGATGCAAGATGACCTCTATATTCGTTAATTCGCAATATCCGTACTATATTCGTATTAAACGAGTTTTACTGTAGTTATTAAAAATTGTATTTTTTGTGAATTTAGAACACTCTGCCCTCATTGCATTTCAAACCTGTACAAACAGGTGCAACAGTGTAACCTTGCCTGATTTTTTTACTGTTTATGTTGCAATCTACTTGGTCAGGGCTTTAAGATCAAAATTCATATTTCATTCAGAAAAGTCTAATCACAGGAAATATACATTTTAAAAATATCAGAACACTGTCTCTTTTCTTGCAAAAGCAGGTACGTAGCAATAGGGGGGGGGGGGGGGGGGGGGGGCTCACTTCCCCCCCCCCCCCCCAACTTTACTTATAGTATAGGAATGTTCTTTGAAAGGCTGGTTGGCCCACCAACTTTTTGTAATACCCGGTATAAGGAAAATATAGTATAAAAAAATTGGTAATGAAAGAAATTGGCATTGAAAAAAGTTGGCTACTACCCCCCCCCCCCCCCCCCCATGAAATATCTTGAAATTTTAAGAATACAGTTGCTGTCGCACATTCTTAATATATTTTTTAATCATTCCATAAGCTGCACCCTTATAATTCTACCCCATGGCGGGGCCCTTGCTGACTGGTCAGTTTTCTAGTTTTCTCTGCCTGCCCCCTTTCAAAAACGATGCTAAATGGCTGAAAAGTTATGATAAAGGTTGAAATTGAAAAAGAAGGGTCAAGGTCATTGATCAAGTACAAATATGAAACCCCTGTTTGTTCAGGTTCAAAAGCTAAAATTAAACATTTTTGTAAAGAGGGTCAAACTTTTAAGGTTAAGGCCATGATTGCAAAAATCATAAGACATTGGGAAAGGTCTTGTCAGTGTGACTTACCTGGGATGCAGTTTTCTTGGAATGGTGGTAGAGTTGTTCGTACACACGTTGTACCATTAATTGAGTATTGTACACCCTGTAAACATGAATATAGGATAATGGACAATGAAAGTTATACACAAAACCTTTGAAACAAACCCACTCATTCACAAATGGAATCCACTGCCTCGACAGGCAGATAAACGAAATATGGTAATGAACAGTTTACAAACTCCATTGAAACAATAAAAATCGGGCGCACAACAAATCCGAATCTCTAATATATCAAATTTGGGATCAGGTGCCATGATGGAATAAGTATATACCCTGTCGACCGGTCACATTCGTTGTGTGCTTCTTGTCATAATCGGTAATTGGGAAAATCCATTGACAATGCAGAGTGTTAAAATGGACTAACAATTGGTATCAGTTAGAATTCAACTTAACGATAGGTTGTACTTGCTGACAAGGTCGTCGTAACAATCATAGAACTTGCGAAATAATGAATTCATACGGTACTTCTGATATCCTTGATTCACCAACTTGTTTGTCAATCGTTTGCATAATTTTATTAATTGTGAGTACATAGAGCATGTTCTCGTGTATCGAATCAACTTATACTGGGATACATTCCCAATATGCAGGTGACAAGGGTACTGTAGTATATTGTTATTTGCTAGTAAGGGAAGATGATGACACAAAGTCAATTTGTACAACTTTAATAGAATGGAATCAATCAAAATATCTGACACTACATCATTATGAAAATTAGAAATAAATTTGTCGAGTTAAATTTCAAATTTGAAAGTTGCCTATTCTAAGTAGTTTAAACATGATATGCCTATGAGAAAATGTGTTATACATGTATGTACCTGTATGCAAGGCATGAAATCTTATAACATTTTTTTTTTCAAAAGTTTACATCATCAAACAGAAGGACTTTTCTACACTTTATCGAACTGATCCTCACGATATAATAATTATGTTGCTATATAAACCTATCTATTTTAATATTCTTATGAAGCAGATTTCATTCAAAAACCTCTACGCGAGAAGAAGAAAACACTTATTGTGGCCATTCAGATATATCGACGACGTTTTATCAATTAAATAATACTAGTATTAGCTATTTCCATTTCTATGTCGACTGGATTTATCCAAGGAAATTGAAATAAAAGATACCACAGGGTTTGCCACATCATCTGTTTCATATTTGGATGCTTATTGTAAAACGATCATGTTAGATAAATTACACGTGCAGAAAATTTGCTCTCCGATACCCTAAATGTCTTTTAATTACATGTATATGTACCTCTGGTAGTACTCACATTTTTATAATCCATGATGATTTTTACATTAAGTGGGTATCCATCGACATCCACATATTGCGTTGCAGCTACCCTCTGGTTAATAGCGTCATAAGCTATATTTACCGAGCTCTGAAAATGTCCATTATTAAACAATTTAGACAGAAAGATAGCTGAGGTTGTTAGTATCACCAAAAATTGACCGTGCTGCAAATGGATTTTATAGAAAGTTAATTTTAGACAAAAGTCATTATTTGTGTGCCTTGTGCTCTTGTCGGAATTTGTTTGAATCTTAACAGCTTAACGAGTCATCCGAAGATGTTCTAACCAGAAAAAATACTTTTATCAATTGAAACTTTTAAAATGGGAAAGAATCCAACAAGAACTGTATGACTAGAGTGTTAGTGTGCCTTGTTTTCGGATGCTGAGAGTACGAACCTGGATGAAATTAGAATTTGGTGCTCCCTCCCGCACGACTCCGATGGCTGATCCCTCCGTGCCCTCCCACTGACGGGGCACGCAACAAATGCTGCATCTAGCAACATATGCAACAGAGAGAAAGATCAAAACACGCAGCATGCTTCTGTGAGTCTTTGCAGAATAGTTCTATCTGAAGACTTTAGCTTACTTAGGAGATAGAAGTGTGCAGGCCGTGTCTTATCTTTGTTGACAATAATTAATCGAGATAAGGAACATCACAGAGAATATAAAGTACTAGACAAAGCTCCTAGCCATGGACCCAGTGATAAACTGTAATTTTTATCATTCAAAATTTAAGAAAAAAAATATTACATGGAATTAATTGTTGAATTTTTTTTCGATATATACATTGTTCGCACCCCAGATCCAAATCTCATTTTATTTCCCTATATTTTATCTAAATTTGTCGAAAAGATATCACCATTCAGTTTAAAAACCTTGTTGGTACGTTATTTTGAACACAAAACTTAATATTACGATTATTACGTTCACAATAATACTCATTTTTGATAACTTTTAAAATACAGATCTCTAGAAGAACGTGGGACTGATGAGACTGTTTATAAGCTTTTTACTTTCGTGCTCATGCAATGTCTGCAAGAAAAGGGTGAAGATAACGCACAGAGATCGCTCTTTTCAAAATCACAAACAGTACAACAATGTGAAGAGGGAATAAACACAGATTCCGGGATCAGGTTCCTAAGAGGAGTAAGCATCCCCCGTTGACCGGTCACATCCACCGAAAGCCCTATGTATTGACCAGGAAGACTGAACATTCCTTAGTCCAAATCAGTATAAATACAAAGCCCTAACCATTGGTATAAAACAAGTCAGACAAAATACGACCCAGTGATGTTATATTTGCTTTCAAGGTCATGACAACGACCAGAGAATTTTCGAATTGCTGACTTTAAACGAAGATGTTGAAATATCTGCAACATCAACTTATGCGTGAGTAGCCAGCAGCGGTTAAAAAACTGATCGAATTTGGAGCATGCTCTTGAGTATTGAATAATTTGAGAGATGTACATGTAAACGCTATATTCAGGTGATAGCGGAATGTTACAACACAAATAACAGTTAACGAGTAAAAGTTGAAAATTAATAATCTCGTTTGTCATACAATTTAGTTGTAAGTATAAGCCCTATTCGTCGGTAGTTAAAGAAATATATGGAAATACCGAACAGTATTCAAGCTTAAGTCCATTAAACAATACAAAGTTTGAAGCACAGCAATCACGGGCATCTAAACCATCAGGGATGGGATCAAGTGTCATCGAGGAGTGAGCTACCCCTACTGACCGGTCACACCCGTCGTGTGCTCTTTGTCATTATGGGGAAATAACAGAAAAATCCATCGACAATTCAGTACCCTTACAATAAATATGATAAATGTAAGTCAGCATTTGATTTAATGATAGATTGTTTTTTTTTCTGACAAGGTCATTGTATCGTCCATAGAATCTTCGAAATGATGACTTTAAAGGAGATTGATGGTATTCTTGTTTCATGAATCTGTTTGTCAATATCTTGCCACGTTAAAAAATGCTCATATATAGACTGAATAGTTAAAGTCATATCGTTTATCATAAAACTCTATTGTTAGATTACGATTAACGCCTTTTCTCTGGTAAAATATACAATATATTGGAATTCCCATGGGTACCAGTTGCGATCCTTTATTAGCAGACCAAATTTTGTACTCATATGAAGCAGAATTTGTGCAAATTCTTATGCGTGAAAAGAAGAAAAACACTGGCTGTGGCCCTCAACTCGACATTTAGATATATCGACGACGTATTGTCCATTAACAATAGTAATTTTCATTCTTTTGTCGATACGATAAACATGTATCCTGGTGAGCTTGAGATAAAACATACCATAAAACCTGACAAAAATAGGTTAATGGTAATCTAACAACCAAGCTCTATGATAAACGAGATGATTTTTCTATCGTCATCTTCGTCAAGCTCTATGATAAACGTGATGACTTTTCTAACTTCCCTTATTTATGCAGCAATATACCTTTATCACCTGCATACGGATTTTATATATCTCAGTTGGTTCGATCCGCAAGAGCATGCTCTACTTATGAACAATTTCTGATACGAGGTAAATTATTGACAAACAAGTTGAAATAAGAATATCAGCAGTCTCGTTTTAAAGTCAATATTTCGTAAGTTCTATGGTCGATATAATGACCTTGTCAGAAAATACAATTTATCATTGAGTCAAATGCTGACTGACGTTTTTCATACTAATTGTTAGTCCTTTATTTATACGATGAATTGACGACGGATTTTCCCGTCATTTCCCGATCATGACAAGGAGCACACGGCGGGTGTGACTGGTCGGTAGGGGATGCTCACTCCTCCATGGCGCCTGATCCCACCTCTGATATTTTAGAGGTCTGCGTGTTTGTTCTGCTCCTATTGAACATTTTCGGAATCACGTACACCTGACAACGTACTACGGACTGCGGACTTTACATGTGAGGGAACATGTCAAAAGCTTAATTTAACGAATATACCTCTCTGTATTGCATTTCTTTTTAAAATTGATACTTGCAATTCTACTGTTCGAGTAGAATACTATTATTAATTATTTTTATGAAGATACAATAAATCTCTTGCAAACCTACAAATTTGAGAGTATTAAAGCCTTCTTTACAATATTTCTTTCATAAAAATACATACTGCTAATTGTTTATCCAATCCAAAATATCTTGTTTATTTTCCAAACTTTTCAATAACTTAACTTAAAATTATGATTAACATGATAAATTAATGATGATATATTTCACTAAGTTCTATTTTCAATTGATGAGTATATAACTCATAAGTGATTTTACTCATTAAATGTATTAAGGTAGACAGTGTATATATATATATATATATATATATATATATATATATATATATATATATATATATATATATATAAAGCACTAAAATGACCAACGACACGAACAATAAAAATTGTCAAATTTTCGGGACGCCCTGTCCCTTCCTCAGGACAAAGAAAAAAGTTAAAAAGTCATAGAAACAAAGGAAAAAGAGAAACAAAAACAACTAGCACTACTACTAAACTACTAAACACTAGATATTTACATAATTACATGTTGAATTGGAAATTTTTAAGAACACTTATAAAGAAATAAATCCGGACCGCTATGAAATGCGTCCGGTCTATCGGGTATAATTGGGTGAAGTGCGATTTACATAATTGAACGAATTAATTATGCTAATTAATTACGATAATCAGTAAATCGTACATTGTTTGTATTCTCTCAAAATGGCGTAACTTTACTTAATAAAGAATACTAGTAATCAAAGAAAAATAATAAAGCAGGGATATTTAAACATATGAATTATGATCCATTATAAATTTTGAAATATTTAAGGATTTTTTACCGGGAAAAAAATTAAGCAAAAGCGTAAACAATAAATAGTTTTCTGGGTTGTCCGAGAGTTGTCGACGCAAATTAACTGTAGAGTTAACACTAAATTGAGAGAATAATCTTGTTATAGTATCATCAGGAATTGGGTCTAGTTTACGTTCATTCTGGTGAAGTCATTCAGTTTGTTAATGCCATTAGGGCGGAATGACTTCAATCTGTGCATCCAGAACTTTTCTTTGCTTTTTCTCTGAGCATCTGTCCATCTTGGGTTATGGTCAATCACCACTACTGTCATGTCCTCCCATTTGTGACCCTCAAGGTTGAAATGTTCCCCAACGGGTTCATTGAGTTTTTTTGTCCTAATGGTCGAGCGGTGGTTATTGACTCTCCACAAATCTCCTGTTTCACCAATATACTGTTTGGAGCAAACTTTGCAACTGATGAGATAAATGCAGTTGTCAGTATGACAGGACAAATTCCCTAGTATTTTGTAGCTGCGGCCTGTAACAGGGCTGTTAAAACTATCTGTGTCAGTGCTGTGCTTACAAAGAAGACATCTTCTGTCAGAGCAAGTTTTAAAGCCCCCGTTAGGTAATGGGTTGTCCAGTCTGGTTCTTACTACCATGTCCTTTAGGTTCCTTGGGCGTCTGTATGCAGCCAGTGGGGGTTCCTTAAAGACCTCTGCCATTCGTTTGTTTGAATGGAGAATTGGAAGCGGCAGGGTCCCTCTGGTAACCACATACCATCCCGTCCTTAAGAACCTTAGCGGTATCCTTCAAAAGAACCTTCCAATTCTCCATTCAAACAAACGAATGGCAGAGGTCTTTAAGGAACCCCCACTGGCTGCATACAGACGCCCAAGGAACCTAAAGGACATGGTAGTAAGAACCAGACTGGACAACCCATTACCTAACGGGGGCTTTAAAACTTGCTCTGACAGAAGATGTCTTCTTTGTAAGCACAGCACTGACACAGATAGTTTTAACAGCCCTGTTACAGGCCGCAGCTACAAAATACTAGGGAATTTGTCCTGTCAGACTGACAACTGCATTTATCTCATCAGTTGCAAAGTTTGCTCCAAACAGTATATTGGTGAAACAGGAGATTTCCGCAGGAGAGTCAATAACCACCGCTCGACCATTAGGACAAAAAAACTCAATGAACCCGTTGGGGAACATTTCAACCTTGAGGGTCACAAATGGGAGGACATGACAGTTTTGATTGACCATAACCCAAGATGGACAGATGCTCAGAGAAAAAGCAAAGAAAAGTTCTGGATGCACAGATTGAAGTCATTCCGCCCTAATGGCATTAACAAACTGAATGACTTCACCAGAATGAACGTAAACTAGACCCAATTCCTGATGATACTAAACAAGATTATTCTCTCAATTTAGTGTTAACTCTACAGTTAATTTGCGTCGACAACTCTCGGACAACCCAGAAAACTATTTATTGTTTACGCTTTTGCTTAATTTTTTTCCGGTAAAAAATCCTTAAATATTTCAAAATTTATAATGGATCATAATTCATATGTTTAAATATCCCTGCTTTATTATTTTTCTTTGATTACTAGTATTCTTTATTAAGTAAAGTTACGCCATTTTGAGAGAATGAAACAATGTACGATTTACTGATTATCGTAATTAATTAGCATAATTAATTCGTTCAATTATGTAAATCGCACTTCACCCAATTATACCCGATAGACCGGACGCATTTCATAAATCCGGATTTCTTTCTTTATA